GGGTCACGAGAACTATTTGCTTGGGATGGCCTTGGACTGCAATCCTCCTGATCTCAGCATCCTAGTACTGCAAGCCACTGGTGCCTGGCTCTGTTGCATTTCTTGAAACAACCCTGTAAGGGTTGAGGAAACTAAGAAAGGATAGTTTTGGTAACATGCCAAAGACCACACAGCTAGTAACAAGCAGCAGGGCTGGTGGTAGCACTTAGGTAGCTCCAGAATCGATACTTTTTAACCCCCAAGGCATATAGCAATGGTTCCCTACAGGAGATGATTATGGCCTCCAGGGTCCTATGAAGACAATTTTGACTGTCACAACTTGAGGCGGAATGCTACTAGAACCTACAAAGCAGGAGCTAGCAATGCTGCTAAAACTTCCTCCAATGCAAAAGACAGCCTTCTACAACAAAGAATTATCCAGACTAAAATGTCAAGGCTAGAGCTGGTGGAGTGGCTCAAGGGGTAGAGTGCCCACCTAATAAGTGTGAGGGCCTGAGTTCAAACCCCAGTACTGCCAAAAAACAAAAAAACCCTAAAATACCAAGGCTACTAAATTGAGAAACCCTGATATATAGGGAAGCCATGTTACAGAATAAGTAATTATAATCTTAATGATGGCTACAAAAGAGAAAATAACTGACTTTTTAAAAGAATTGTCCAATTCAAAGTGTGATTTTTTTTGGTGGGATGAGGATTGAATAAGGGCTTCACACTTGCAAAGCAGGCACTCTTATCACTTGAGCCAAACCTCTAATCCATTTTGTTCTGGTTATTTTTTAGAGATAGGGTATTGAGAACTATTTGCCTGGGCTGGTCTTGAACTATGATCTTGACAATCTCAGCCTCCCAAATAGCTAGAATTACAGGGATAAGCCAAACCACTGGTGCCCAACTCCAGTGTGTTTTTTTTTTTTTTTTACTTGAGTCATTGCACTTTGAATCTGATCCAGCAGCAGCAGAGGTTTTGTGCTAAACCAGTCACACTCTATTGAGAATGCTGTCTGGTGTTGGGATTGTTCATAACTGTGAAATGGATGGGGCCAATAATCATTAACTGTAATGCTTACTGTAATCAGTATCCTCAGATCTGAGGCAAACATATACCAATATTATTATAAGGGTTAAGGGAGAAAACAAACTTAGGTGCCATCAATTTTAGCAAGGTGCTTCACCCAGGTGCTAATTTTTCACTTTATTCTACTTAATTTCCTTCCGCTCCTTATTTGCTACCATCTAGAACTTTCCCATTAGTCCTAGCGTGGCAATTCCTGTGATCCCTGGCTTTCCTTATAGATCAGTCTTGATGCCCTACTTGTGTATCTGATTTTGCATCTTGTCTCTGCAATGTACTGTGCCTCACTTTCAGTGTGTGTGTGTGTGTGTGTGTGTGCGCGCGCGTGTGCGTGCGCGCGTGCACGCTACTAGGGTTTGAACTCAGGGCCACGTATTTGCCATACAGGTGTTCTACCACTTCAGTCATGCCCCTAGCCTTCAATTTCTTTTTCTTTTTCTTTTTTTTTTTTTTTTAAAGGTAGGGGCTAGCCCAGCACTAAGTAATCATAGCTACTTGGGAGGCTGAGATCAGGAGGATCACTGTTCAAGGCCAGCCTGGGCAAATAGTTCAAGAGACCCCCCCCCATCTCCAAAATAACCAGAGCAGAATAGACTAGAGGTGTAGCTCAAGTGGTAGAGAGCCTGCTTTGCAAGTGTGAAGCCCTGAGTTCCCAGTCCCACCATAAAAAAATTAAAAAATAAATAAGGAGGGGACTGGAAGTGTAGCTCTGTGGTAAAGGATGTGCTTATTTAACATATGTAAGGCCCTGGATCCAGCGTCATAGGAAAAATAAAACAGGATAGGAGGCTCTATTATTAAATGAAGCAACACATGGCCACTTGTAGGTGTGCAGTTATCATCATTACAAAGCCTGAACTCACAGACTCCTTTTTAGAATCTATTGAGTTAACATCCCTGAAGGAGACTGAGTTCCACCTAAACGCTAATGCTTACCTCCTCCCTCACTCAATCCTCTCTCCTAATAAATCGGCTCATATATGACAAACTTTTATGATAGCAAAGGAGGGCAGCAAACAATGGTACAGGAGAACACTCTGGCTTTATTTCTTGATCCTAATCCTTAAAAGAAAGGTAACTTGGGCCAGCAGAGTGGCTCAAGTGGTAGAGTGCCTGCCTAGCAAGCATGAGACCCTGAGTTCAAACCCCAGTATCACCCAAAAAAAAAAAAAAAAAAAAAAAAACAGGTCACTTACAGTTGAGGGCAAATATTAACTGCTTTATCTTCTTAACTTGATTATAATTTTAAGTGCAAACAGGTATCTTACCTGTGACATTCAATCATCAGTCCTAATAGACAACCCCCACTAATAAACATGATTCTACTTTCTCTATGCCATTTTCACAAATACCATCAAGTTCAAATTGCAGTTTGATTATTGCTACCTCTTCCTGTAACAAAGTAATGGTGAATAAAATGCAGGACTTATAGTTGGGCCCAGATTTGATTCCTACCTTTGGTACTGATCATCTAAGTTGCCTTTAAAGTAAGTAACTTAACTTTTGAGCTTCAGTTTCCTCAAGGGCAAAATGAAAATAGCTGTATCTATATTTTTAATACACTGATCTATTATCTAACTTTGAGGTTTTGTAAGAAATCAAGAGATATTTAGGGGCCAGGCAAGGTGGCTTATGTCTGCAATACCAGTTACTCAGGAGGTGGAAATCAGGAGGCCAGCCCCAGGAAAAAGTTAGCAAGACCCCATCTCAAGCAACGAGTCAAGCGTGGTGATGTTTGTCTGTGATCCCAGCTACTGGGAAGCTGCAGAAGGTAAGAGGATCACAGTCTGAGGCCTGTCTGGGCAAAATCTCGAGATTCTACCTAGAGCCAAAAAAAAAAAAAAAAAAAAAAAGCAAAAACAGGCTGGGAATGTGGCCCAAACGATAGAGCACCTGCCTAGCAAGCATGAGGCTCTGAGTTCAAACCCCATACTGCCAAAAAAAAAAAAGACATCGGAGATACTTAAAACAAGAATTTGACCAAATTCCAAGCATGACAGGTACTTAATATAGAAGAAATTTGTTTTCTGTCTTTTCTTATTTTTGGTGCTGGGGATTGAACCCAGGGCCTTGCACATGCTAAGCAACCACTCTACCACTGAGCAATAGCCCAGGCCTAACAGGCACTTAACATAAATATGAGAAAATACTTGCTGGGGATGTGGCTCAAATGGTAGAGTGTCTGCCTAGCAAGCACAAGGTCCTGAGTCCAAACTCCAGTACCTCTAAAAGAGAAAAGAAAATACTACAAGTTCTAACTCTTTTACAATGTTAAGAATCTTAGTTAAAATTTCTGCAGACAGGGCATGTTTGTGGAATGAAATGAGCTGTACCTGAGGAATCCAAGATTCCATGAAGTCTCTCAAAACTCTGAAAGCAGAGAGCTGCTCCAAGAGTCCAGACTTCTGACAGTTACCTGGTTTGCCTACAAGCAGAGCTAATTACCCTGCCCACCACCATGCTTAGTAATGAGCTGCACATGTGCTCTTGCCTTTGTCGTCCTACTGTCCCCTTTTTTAGACTCTGAGCTCTCAGAGGGTAGTGATGTGACTTACTTTTTATATTGAGTTGCAAAATACATGTTTGCTAAATAAATGCTCTCAAAATCCAAACTTTAAAAACTGCTAAGCATAGTCAATTACTATTATAAGAAAGAATTCTAAGTTTTCCCTTCAACCAAGTCAACTGCATGAGACTCAACTGTGTTGACAGCACTAAGGCAAATACTAAATGAAGTGTCATGCCTTATTTAAATCACCAAGATTATACAAAATATTCCTGTCACCTGGTTCAATCCTGTTCCTGATGTTCTGCCTGAGGCTCCCAGCAACTCCTACTTTTGAAGAGCAATTTCTTGGCACCCTGTTTAAGAATCTTAATTTGATTCAATGAGGGAGCATGAAGTTCTCATTTTAAATTGTTTGTATCCTACAAATTCCTCACATTAATGTACTTATCAGTTTTCTTTAAACAATTCTATACAATCAGGTTCCCTTAAACCATCCCTTTTCTCTGGGCACCAGTGGCTCACGCCTGTTATTCTAGCTACTCAGGAGGCAGCGATCAAGAGGATTACAGGCAAATAGTTCAAGAGAACCTATCTCAAAAATACCCAACACAAAACAGGGCTGGTGGAGTGGCTCAAGTGGTAGAGCACCTACCTAGCAAGTGATAGGCTCTCAGTTCAAATTCCAGTGCCATCAAAACAAAACCCATCCCTTTTCCCCCCTCCAACAGAGTTTGTGCAGATACCTTCCAGAGTGGACAGGAAGATTACATAACCACATCAGCAAAGCTGGGAACAGCCCACTGCTCCCAAATACAGAGAAGTCTTTGTTTTCAACAATGGTAGGGACAGCAAGATAAACACACACACACACACACACACACACACACACACACACACAAACACACAACACACACACACACACACACACAAAATCTATTCTTTGCCAGCAAAGTTAGCACAATGTGGACAAATCCACAACAGATAATGCCTAACAAATAGCACAGCAAGTGAATCCAGCCTCCCTAGACACTCATTCACACTGCCTTTTTGGTGAACTCACTTTCACATCTACTTGCTCCTGTGGAAATGACCTGAGAGCTTTCATTGCCCTGTGTCAAGATGCCTAGATCAGCAAGGAAACATTTTAGAATGCCAAATGTTCACATGATGCCTGGACATCAAAGGTGGGAGCATTTCATTTATGTGGTCAGAGAAGCAAATATTTCTCTTCAGTATGTTTCAGAATTAACGTACAAAGGCAGATTAGCCACTGGACTCTGAAGGAAGAGTGGTTGCTATAACCGGCAAGGAAAAAAAGCTTTAATAAGTGTGGCCTTTGTTTGGGGGTGGGAGACATTCTGATACTATACTGGATCATACCTAAGTTGATTTAAATAATTACTATAACTACAGCCTTACCTGGAACCCTGGACCTCAAGAAATAGAGAAACTTTCCATTCTTGGAGTGCATGATGGCTCTCTTAATGAACTCTACCACGGACTGACATCGATCCTCAAACTTGGGATGGCACCATAGGCTGAAGGTTCCTGAAATAGAAAGATGTAAAAATTTTAAAGCTTACCTTTCTTTTTTCTTTTTGGCGGTACGGGGGACTTGAACCACAGGCCTCACACATGCTAGGCAAGAGCTCTATCCTTTAAGCTATGCCCCCAGCTCTTTTTTTCCTTAAGACAAAGTCTTGCTACCTTTTCATGAGCTGGCATCAAACTAACAATCTTCCTTCCTCTTGAGTAGTTGAAATTATAGGTCTGCACCACCACGTCTGGCTAAAAACTTTAGAAAGATCTGAGCCAGGCACTGGTGGCTCACGCCCATAATCCTAGCTACTCTGGAGGCAAAGATCAGGAGGATCATGGTTCAAAGTCAGCCCCAGGCAAATAGTTTGAGAGACCTTATCTCCAAAATATCCAACACACACACACACATACACACACAAGGGCTGGCATATTGGCTCAAGAGGTAAGAGTGTATGCTTAGCAAGTGGGAGACACTGAGTTCAAACCCTAATGCCACCAAAAAATCTGAAGCCAGATTAGGAAGATTATGGTTCAAGGCCAGCCAGGGCTAAAAGTTTGTGAGACCCATCTCAACTAAAGGCTGGTGGGTAGCATATACCTATCATCCCAGCTACTCAGGGAAGGACAAATAGAATTGCAATCCAGGCTGGCTCTGACATAAAGCAAGACCCTATCTCAAAAATAACCACAGCAGGGGCTGGCAGAGTGATTTACATGGTAGAGCGTCTGCCTACCAAGTGTGAGGCCCTGAGTTCAAAGTCCAGTACTGCCAAAAAATAAATAACCAAAGCACGCGGTGGCTCCTGGCTATAATCCTAGCTACTTGGGAGGCAGAGATCAAGAAGATCTGTTCAAGGTCAGCCAGGGCAAAAAGTGAGAACGTATCTCAAAAATACCCAACATAAGAAAGGACTGGAGGTGTGGTTCAAGTGGCAAAGTACTTGCCTAGAAAGCATGAGACCCTGAGTTCAAACCCCCAGTACTGCCAAAATAAATAACCAAACAAAAAGGGTTGGTATTGTGGCTCAAGTGTCAGAGCACCTGAGCATCAAGTATGAAGCCCGGAGTTCAACCCCCAGTACTACCCCAGTACTACAAGTGTCCCTAAAAAGCACAGCAAAAGCATGTTTAAATGACAACCCCCTCAGAAGATCTAAGTATTCAAATATTTACAGAATAGTTGAGAAAAGACAGACATAGTAGTTTTGTGGGTCTCATTCATTCTTGTATGTGTTAGGCACAGAAAACCAAACTCTTAAGTCTTTAATTTCTAAAATCCCATTCCCCAGCATGTTACAAAGTTCTACCTTAAACATCAGAATCCCAAAGACAAAAGGAAACCTGAAGTCCTGTGACTTAAAAAAATAAAATCACAACAAAAACTAAAAAACTAAAGCACTAGATTCTAACACAATCACCCACAAAAAGGGATACAAAGAAAGGATACTAATCACTCCTGAGAACAGCAGATTTGTGTCTCTCTAGCTACTCTTACAGTATCACTTAAAAAGATGAAGACAAATGTTCCACAGAGAACTAGCAACAGAAAGACCCATAAGGCTTCTATTAAAAACATCGTTTATTCAAGAAAGGAAAGTCCCTTTGGACAAAAATTGGAGAACGATCTGAAAGAGCCTTCATTCCTGTCATCTCACCTATCAGGAACCTAAAGGTCAAGCATTTATTCATCATTTTTATAGCCTAGTCACTTACCATTTTTTAATAAGTTTAACAAAATACTTCCCTCTGAAATGCCTTATTCTGCATTTTGGCTTTGTCTGTTTGATTTTGGGTTTTAGGAACAATAGGAAAACAGGTAGCACTTCTCCCTAACAGTCAGTTGTCAAATTCATTCTAAGGTTCCTTTCTCTTTATGCATCTCTAAGGTAGAGGTGGGGGCAGAGGAAACCATGGCCAAAGCTATACTGATCTAAAGAGCTAATTCCTGTCTCACAAGAGAAATGGATGCAAGTAAGTCAAATGGAACAGGAGCTGATAGTGGGGAAGAAACCCCAGTGTCTGAAAGGAATAACACAGGGCTCTTACTTGAGCTGCAGAGCTTATTTAAGGCTGAATGCATAGGGGAAGGGAGGGATACAGAGAGAGAGGCAAGTCCCAAAAATTCTCCCAAGTTCTCTATACATTTTCATGTGTACATATGCAGGTATTTTGACAAAAGAATATTACCTAGCCCTACCACCAATGACCACCACAAGTTTCTGGCCTAAGACAAATACAGACTGCCCCGATACAGAATCAGTCCACAGAACTGTATTTAACAAGTCAGCTTCTAGACACAGCTGGAACATGAAACACTACCTGACCACAAAGGAAGAGGTACTTTAGCAGAAGTCTAAAGCACGTTGATCCCACAAACTCTCAAGGTTCCATGAATATTTCCTAAGAGACTACACACCAGACCAAAAGAGGAAACTGTCATCACTATGCTGCCTGGCAAGAAATGACTATCAAGCAAAGAAATTCAGAACAGAACAATCACATAGTAAGTTTAGTTATGAATAAAGCTTAGGAGAATCTATCTAATAATCCTAGGTTATTTCTTCCTTCTGTTCTCTTCAATCATTTTTGTTCCTCTTATTTAGAAGAAAAGATGTTGAGGGGACTTTTTTTTGGGGGGGCAGTACTGGGTTTAAACTTAGGGCCTCATACTTACTAGGCAGGTGCTCTACCACTTGAGTTAAGGGGACTTTTAAATGGAACCTTTACTCTCCCTTTCCTACCCCCTCCAACATTCCTTCTAGTGACTGAAACCAGAGCTCATATTAACACTTAAGATTTTTTCCCCCTATTCCTAGAAATCCTTCCTATGAAAAAGTCAGATAGCAAAAGGTGAAGAAGGCTCTCTTACAACAGCAGCCCCTCTTACCTCTGTAGTGCTCCATTCTAGTGTGATGGGTAATACCCTGTGATCGGAAACTGAGGCTCAGGATGTAACGAGGATCAGAACTGTCTCGTACCAAGAAAGAACCATCTGGCTTCCCTTTCAGCTTCATCTCTGCATCTTCCCAATTCATTGGCCCCCAATACCAACCACACTATCAAAGATAAGAAAACAACCAAGTAGTTAACAGAACAGAGAAATGTCAGTTTTCATGACAATCTGTCTTACCAGGGGAGAATCCCCCAATCCCCATTTGAGTAGGTAAGAACCACTACAAGTGTCTCAACTATCAGCAGTGAACATCAACCTCATTATATTTCTAATCCTCCAAAGTAACAGAAGACTAATTCTACATTTCATTACCAAGGGCCCTACAAAGAAGAGAAGAGGGAACCAGGTCAGTTAATTTATCAAAATCATTTTAGACCAGGTAAACATTTCTCTACAACCTTCCTTCATCATGTTCAATTTTTTTCCACTCAAAATTCAATGTTATTACATCTCTTGTGGAATTAACAAGAGCAGCATACTGTTTTGTCACTGTAAATATGGAGATAAGGAAACTACTCTTCCTCTAAAAATAATGAGAGCCTGGGTACAGAACTCAGGAGTAGGAGGAGAGGTGGGCAGCCAGTCCTTAGGTACTACCTACCTTCTCCAACTCTCGGAGGCTAGCTGCAAAGCTACTCGAGTCAGGCCGATAGAGGGGACACTGGAGGTGCTGGGGGGGCTGGCTGTGCAAGGACTCAGCTGCTCGGATAGGAGCAATCCGGGGAAACGCATCTGCAGGGCAAGATAGTGGTGGATCACTTGTTTACCCTCACTGCTCCCACCCACAGGCAAGACCACCCCCCCAAAAAAGAGATGCTAACTGAAGAAGGGCAAGGCATTAGAAGCTAAGCTGGAAAGGGTAGAAGCCAAAGCAGTGGGAAAGAGCTGGATGGGCTGGAACAAAAAGCTATGTGGGCTTGTGTAAGCTGTGAAGGATGGGTGGGGGCATTTAACCCCAGAAAAGAGGTAGGGGAGCTGCTCACTAACCTGACTAAGGTGACTACTTCTGGGACTTCACCAGCCTAGAGCGATTCCAACTTCTCCCACCTCGAAGTGAAGTACCGGTAAAGCACCCTTGGAAATAGTGACTTGTTCACTTGCCCAAGAAGAGTAACGATTTTGCCAGGCAAGTAGAAAAGAATGCTGATTTCATTTATTTTATTCCTTGGGTACTGGAGGCTGGCAAAGTAGGTATGGGCTACTAAATGCTTGGTACTTATTTACAAGGCTGTAATAAACACTAAAAACTTAGAAAAACCACAGAACTTTAAAACCAGGAACATATTAAACCTCCTCACTATCCTAACATTAAGGCAGTTTTGTGATGGCTACTTAAGAATTGCAAAACAGTCTCAGCAGCAGAGATAAAAAAAAAATTCAATAGTCTTTTATTTCTAAGTAAAATCACATTCACTTCCAAAAAGAAACAGGTTAGAAAAAATAGTTCTCGGCCTCATTTCCAAGTTCTGGTCCAGCCAAGGGGAAAAAGATTTAAACTTCCTCATAACTTGTTATTTCCATAATTAGATTTCTCCCAACCTTCCACTCTTACAAGTCTTGCATCTAAACTAAGCTAACCTGGGGCATGGGGTGGAGGAGGCGGAGGTAGGGGGAAAGACTGCAAGGAAGACCCCATCGGAGCCACAAGGACAGATGTAGGCAGCGTCCCACTGATATCATCTAGAAAAGAGAACAAAAGCAAAAGGTTCAGAAGAATGAGCACAGAATGAGGAAGGTGAAGGCAGAGGAGAGGGAGAATTGTCAGGCTGCCCTCTGGGGCAAAATTGCCTGACCTTCACCCCAGCTTTTTGCCCTCTAGGCAAGTCATCTTAATCTGGTTTGCTCTGCTTGGAGAACAGAAAAGTAAGGATATTCCTAAAGCAGCCCAATAGCAGTAGATTAAAGGCAAGATAAATGTAAAGCGAATTAATATATGAACAGTAGCATGTAGGTAAAAGACCCATTTAGCTGTCTACAGAGATGACAGGGTGCTGAGAAAGGGACAGGAAATAATTGGGTCATCATTAGAAACCCAGAAGTTTGTATGGTCCCCAGAAAAGAACAAGTCCCTAGGACTTACCCTCCCACTAGGGCAAGAGAGCAGAAAGGGAAGAGACTATACCTAGGAGGCTGAGGCTTCTTCTTGGAGGAGGAGGGGGAGTTGGAGGATGTGGAGAGGTCAGGCCCCGCTGAGAAATGTCCACATCTACAAGTGACACCGTTTCACCTGAGGGATGCAAGCATGTTATAGAAGCACCTTACCCAAAGATGAGGTTAAAAGCAAAGGGAAACAAAGAGCAAGCAAGGGAGATTAGAGGTTCATAGCTCTCAAAAAGCTCAAAATATAATGCTCCCCAGGACTGGAATCACTTCTGAATGTCAATTTAAAATTTTATCATTCATTTGTCCTATTATTAAGGGCCAATGGTTTTTTAGGAGGAAACAACATGGCATCGACAGTAGAAAACACACCCAATACTGGTCTACCACTGACTTACCTTGAACAAAGAATATAACCCTGAATAAAGTATCTTCTTTACAAATGAAAACCATACCATTTGTCTTTACAGACTTTCATTAATAATTTCTGCCTTAGGGACGTGCACAGTAAGTGGCTTGTTATATGCCAAAGGACATGGAAAACACAAGTGCCAGATAAATGTTAAGAATTGCAGGGTAAGCTGAATACAGATAAAGGCCCCACAATTGGTCTAGATGGCTTTCCACATCTAGATTTTCCAGAAGATTAATATAAGAGAATCTACCACTAACATATCAGTTCCTAATAGCTAAAGCTAGCTACAAAGTCTGAAAGTGCATGTGTAGCCCTAAAAATTAACTACTTCCACAGTCAGTCAAAAGTTGGGTAAATGTGGAGGAAGTTCCACAATAAGGACTTGATGGGAATGGCATATGGTTTCTCTTAATTTCCAGCATGTCATGCTGTTCTGTTCTTTACCATATACCCATATATTCTCCTTGCTAGACCCTCGTCAACTTGAATCATGAGAAAATGAAGGGTATTTTATTATCACAGGTTGGTGGCCAGGAATAAGTTGTTTTGGTAGTTCTGATCTACAGGTCACAACTTAAGACTTCTCTAGTTTAGGGTGTTATTTCTAATACCTTTTTCTTATTCCAGGATTAACTAGTCCCTTGGCTAATATTTTAATGTTCCCCTGTTGAGAAGATGAGATAACTAATCTCTCTGTAACCAGGAGCTAGGTTTTCAGCTTTTTACAAAGATTTTATTTTTTTAGCTAGCTGCTGGTGACTCATGCCCGTAACCTTAGCAACTCAGGAGGCAGAGATCAGGAAGATGAAGGTTTGAAGCCAGCCCAGGCAAACAGTTCCCAAGACCCTATCTTGAAAAAACCCATCACAAAAAAGGACTAGTGAAGTGGCTCAAGGTGTAGGCCCTGAGTTCAAACCCTAGTACTGCAAAAAAAAAAAAAAAAAAAAAAAAAAAGAACTCAGGACCTCTACAGGCACTCTACCACTTGAGCCATGCTACCAGCCCTCAAAGGTCTTGAACACTGATTAAGGTAAGTAGAGGGCTGAGGGTGTAGCTCAGTGGGATACCGTTTGTCTAGCATGTACAAGGCCCTGAAATTGATCCCCAGCACTAAAATACATACATATATATATATATATATATATATATATATATACACACACACACACATATATATATATATATATTTTTTTAATACAAGTAGATTTAAGAAAGGCTGTTCTCAAATCAACAGAAGTTCCAGGAAGCTGGCTGGACTCAGCACAAAGCTGAGAGTCTCACTGTCGTGAGCAGTGCAACAGACACAGACAAGTATGCCTCCTTACAGATCAAAGAGGTATAGGGTGCATGCAGGTGTAGCACTTAAATAAAAGATATAATTCCAGAGAGCTAAAGTTTTCTGAGTCTGAAACTACAAAAGTGAGTGTTCCTTACTTTAAGAAGGAAGTAATTGTCGACTAGATAAACATGTTGCCAACAGGATATGAGATTCTGGAGTAAGAACAAAGACCTCATTCTCCACAGGTGCCAACTCACTTGTTCTGACAGTTCACCACAGTCTACCCAGTTGGGGCCCCGCTGGCCGTTTAACATCTTCTGAAAGCGTCCACTCATAATTCATAGTGCTTCCAATCACCTTTTTAAGGAACACAAGATCCTGAGTGTTTTGTTTGTTTGTTGAGACAGGGTCTGTTTAGTCCAGGCTGGATTAGAACTTAATATCCTCCTGCCTCAGCTTCCCCAGTGCTGTGATTACAGGTATGTGCCACCATGCCCTGCAGTAGGCATTTTAAAAAAGGCTTCTCTGTAACAACCAATGACAGTATCAGTTACTGAGACTTGAGGCAATGTGGAAAAGACCTTCTTTTCTACAGCTCATTCAATCAGGAGCTTCACATCCAACTGAGAGAAGGTCTCCCTCTCTGAAAAAGTTCCCCATAAAATGAGAAGGCAGTTACCCGTTACTTACAGGACATTCAACAGCCTTCCTACTTTAGCTGCAAGGAAACTTAAATTAGATAGAAAGAACACTAGCAGCTGCAAGAACTGCTAGTTCCTAAAATGGGTAAGACAAGAGTTCATGTAATCCCCTTTGCCTAAAGTCTTTAAAAATAGACCAGATACTCATGGATCTTTTTTATTAGATAATCTATGAACTCCCTTGGAAGCAGGGACAGGAATTATATGACTTCTAGAAAGTCTTTTATGCATTGTGAGCCAAAAATTTATAATTCCTACTTTTAATTTATAGGTGATGACCATGAACTAAGCACTCAAACTTCTTGGGCCACCCAATTACCAACAAGCAGCATTTATCTCCAAATATAAAACATCCAAATTTAAGAATACATTCCAACCAGAAAAATAGCCTGACCCCAAACCCAGTGGGTATAGAATGAAGGAAATTACTGCAGACATGCCAGAAGCTTCCCCTGTGAGGCATCTGCTTCCCCTGTGAGTTTCCTGATAGGTCTCAGAACTAACAGATTTCAGAAGAGAAAGGCCTCTCATCCTTACCTGTGAATAGGGGGCTGAAGGAGACTGGAGAAAAGGCACTTTGAGTTCTTGTCAACCTGGGTTTTCTAGGAGGTAAGAAAGCACACAGAGAATAAAGGGGAGAGATGAACACGTATGCATTTAAATTACTACAACACTCAATTCCAGATGCACCAAAAAACAAAGCAAACCCCAGTCACTGTTAGCAATACTTTTATAATAAAACCTAAAATTTAGAAGAGGAGAATGAAATAACTAAGATAATTCCTTAAATAGATTTGGCTACCAAACTTACCAGCCTACAAAGCAATGAGAAATCCCAGTTAAAAGAGCAGTGCACCTTGAGTGGTAGTTAGCAAGTCCATTTCAACAAGGGACTTAAATGCAGAGCTGATTTTCATTTGGGATCAAGAAAAAGCATCTAGACGCCAATGGACACCAGCTTAGAGCAACAGCTTTCCCTCTGGGCCTGACTCCAAAATAGGAGTTCCTAAAAGAAGCCAGGGAACCAGAGAACATATTCAGGCCTGAGAAGAGCACTAAAGGATATTCTGCAATCTTCAACCACAAAGACCGCTGATTTCTGCCCAACTGCCCTGGGACATGAGCCAAAGCCCTGGCTAACAAGTAGACCTCATCAGGGTAGGGGCTCTGCCTGGCACCCAAACACACCCCTTCCCCTCTCTGAGCTGTCAGTTACACAGCTCTGTGACTCCTCCTTGATGCTGCTCCAGGGACTACCTTTTGATTACACACTAAAGGTAACTTTGCTTTGTACCAATTTCAAGTGTCTTTTTAGCAAGAAATGAAAGACATGCAAAAGACTCCAATATAGACTTCCTAGCCAGAAATGTGATTAAAAAAAAAAAATCACCTCAGGATGACTAAATTAGCTACAAGGCAAAAGATCCAGTTGAGGTGATAGAAATAGGCTACATGCTCACTGAGGTAGTTCTGGTGACTATGTAAGTTTGTCAAAATTAATAAACTGGACACCTAAAAACGGTGAATTTCATGGCATATAGCAATTATACCTCAAATCATATTTAAAGAAAAAAAACCCTACCCTAGAATTAACTGACTGACTGACTTCGGGCATTATAATACTACAGTGCCTAACTCCACGCATAATCACTAGCTCACCTTCCAAAAATATTCTTACCCAAAGGACTAAATAGAATATGAACTTTTCTTTTTTCTGGTGTTACTAGGGTTTGAACTCAGGGTCTCATGCTTGCACTAGTATCATGCCCCCAGTCCTTCTGGCTTTAGCTGTTTTTCAAATAGGATCTCATGTTTTTGCCCAGGGCCAGCCTCAGATTGATTCTACTACCTATAGCCTCCATACAGCTGGGACCACAGGTGTGCATGACACCTGACTTATTGGTTGAGAAGGGGTCTCATTAACTTTTTGCCTGGGCTGGCCTTGAACCATGATGCTCTGTATTACAGGGGTTAGCCACCAAACCTGGCAGACCATAAACTCCTTTTTTTAACTATCAACTGTACTAACAGGAGGGAGCAAAAGCAAAAAAAAAAAAAAAAAACAAAAACAAAATGATGAAATTCTATTTAAAATTATTTGATTTTAGAAGATGCTTATGGGAGCCAGGTAGCAGTGGCTCATGCCTGTAATCCTAGCTACTCAGGAGGCAGAGAGCAGGAAGTTCGAAGCCAGCCCCAAGCAAATAATTCGGGAAACCCTATCTTGGGGGTAAAAAAAATCACAAAAAAGGACTGGAGGAGAGGCTCAAGGTGTAGGCCCTGTTCCCTCTCCAGTACCAAAAAAAAAAAAAAAAAACCATATTTATGCATTCATCTTTTAACATGAAGCTTTATCTGAGCTTCTCAAAATTCCCAAACCACACCTAACTTAGAAAGAGCTTAAATACTGGTAGTTTCCTCTTCTGACCTGTCTCCACACTCCCTCCATGCTGAGGTTTAAGGGGTCTAATGATACACACGTGAATTCCACACCCACAGCACACAGGAGCTATGGCTACATAAACATAAGACAAACCACACACAGTCCCTCTGTTTATAAAAGTTGTTGGTGACCATCTGCAGCTTAGTGCCAACAATCCAAAGGGCTAGAATGGAAAGTTAATTCCACTGGACATGAACTTTAAGGCTGCTGAAGAGCTTTCAAGTTGACTTTTATGTGATAAAAGTGGGTACATGAAATTCAGCAAGTAGAAACCTAAAGCACTGGCCTTTCAGAAGGTTTACACCTCAGCCATTTGGCTGTTTGCCTCTTTTCAAAGGAAGCTGCATTACTCTGCCATCTGCCCATGTTGGGGACGAGTCTCTTCAGTGCTTGGCACTGAAGAATGGCAGTACCCAAATGCACACATCTTGCGGAGGCCTTCTCACTTCAGCTCATCTTCTCCCCCACCCCCGACATTTTGAAGAAGAAAATCATAGCTTCCAGGATCTAGAAAAAGAAAAACATCTGAATCTAAACCCAGGCAGAGCCATTTGAGAGTTCCAGGATGGTTTTCTTGGCAAATAAGGGTGCCTTGTGCCTGGAAGCTAAGAAGTAGAAAGTCTAAGAGGCTGAGAGGCTAATAATATGTGTGTTTCATTCTCTCTTGGGGAGATGCTACCTAACTAAAAACCCAAAGCAGTTTCTGTCTTCTAATGGCAGGGTTCATGAAAAGACCAATTTAAATGACTATTAAAAAAAAAAAAAAAAGTGAGGGAATGATTAACATAAAATCCAAGAGTGGCCTGTTACCTAGGAGAAGGGCCAAAAGTAAATCAGGATGCAACACTCACGTCTTCAAAGGTACTGACAATATAGTACATATTTGCTAAGCTTAGTGACGAGTACCTAGGTATGTATTTATTACTCAAGCACATATATTTTACATTTTTTTTTTTTGCAGTGCTGGAAACTGAACCCAGGGCCTTCTACCTGAGCTATAACCCCAATCCATCAAGCACATATATTTTATATATCCCCTTTTGGTATATAAGAAACATCTGGTATGATAAAAGTCCATTCTAAGCTGATGTGCTATTTTATAGAGGGCAACATGAATGATATGGGTCCAGGTAAACATTTTAAACTAATCCTCTATACTACATTGTCATATTATTTATTCCTCCCCAGATCACCTTGACAAGCATTGGGGTACAAAGTTAAGCCACTGCAATTTTTCCAGTGGACATTTGCATCTTAGCAACAAAAACATTTGAGGAGTAGGTTGGGATGGGGGGAGGGGGCTGGTGAGCTGTACCTCAGGTTAGAGAACATGACAGGGCAGAAGGCCTTAGGCAAAGGTCTTCTTTGAGGCTAGTAGTCCTTTGTATCAGATGTATCATTGCCTGTGCTGTAGCTAACAAAAAGACAGAATGCCTCTGTCCATTCCACCCTGCAAAATATTACTTGTACTGCAACAGATTTATGAGATAAAAGGAGTTTTAACCACTAGACTAGACAGGATAATACACAGATATAACCACTGGCCAGTTTTCAAATTCCTTGAAACCTAAAATATAAACAATGAAATAGAAATGCCTCCCATGCTCTTGTCCATAAATCCCCTCTACTGATGCCCTAAAACTTACATGTTTCTTTTTCTAAAGTAACTTCCAAACTAGGATACCCAAATACTGGGTTTTGTGGCCTCAATGTACCTCTTTGCCCCTGCTAAAGAACACAGTGCCAAGTAAGGCAGCCTGTGCCATTTCCAACACATCATAAGCCAGTGTCTGTTCATGTGCTACAGGCATAAAAACCATGTGTTCATTTTTAGTTCCAATACACAGACATCTGTGCAGCAAGGTCAGATCCAAAACTCCATCATAAACCAACTATAGAACCTATGGAGGGAACTTCCAGGGAAAAGCCAAGAAGTATAGCCCAACTCCTAAAACCTTAGGAATGATGTTGGCTGAGACAATGTTAAAAAGTAAAAGGCACAAGACTCAAAGGACAGATAAGAGATTTCTAAAGCCAAGGAGCTAATTCTAAGAGAGATGCCAACCATAACCACTTTGTGTAAAGATAGTTAAAAAGATCAACAGTGTGTGGACCCAAAACCCAAACATAGTCAAAACTTCATCACCACACCATATAAAATAATTTTGCTCTCAGCATGTCAAGTTATGACTCAGAAAGACACCTCTGGACTTCAAGTCCCAAGGAAACAGTAAAAAAGGTTTCTCATGTCTGTCAAGTCTGTCTATAACAGTAGGGCCCTGAACTAATAATACCAGGGCAGTCTGACTCTCTACCCAGAATTTTATCTTTTTTCCAAACAAATATACTGAAAGTCACTACAGAACTGTTCTCCATTTCTCCACCTCACAAGTATAAATACTGCCTATAACAGCCTCAACTGTTAAATTTTGAAAAGAGAACAGGTTACCCATTCCCAATCAAGTGTGTATTATGTGCTTCAAGAAGGGCAGATCAAATGCTATTTTTCACCAAATTCAAAGGAAGACAATCAATCCAACATATGTGAAGCAGACAAGGGATCTCCACTGGTTTTCCTGAAATAACAAAATTCTATATTACACCAAGGCCCACAGGCATCAAGCCCAGCTCTCTGAATTTCAACATATGTGTAGTACAAGGCCTAGCCCAGTTCTGAAGAACAGAAACCTGATTAGTTGGCAGGCTCATTTCTTACTGCACTTAAAAAGAGTTCTCTAAGCTAACTCATACTACTCTTTAAGACTCAGTATATCCAGGCAGGTCCACTTAGCAGACCCAAACACATCTGAAAGGAAGTCAAGTTTTGCTTAGTGTTAAAATATGGGAAATGCTAAGCCTTATAAAATAATGCTAGGAAGTACTTTCTAGCCAATAGCTGTGGAAAGGTAGATGTTGAGAACAGCAAAGAGAATTATGCCTAGAGGTTATTGTAAATGCCCCAAATTATATAGCTAAGACAGCAAAGGCCATAATTAACTCCAACCAACAATGAGGGGGAAGGCATATATTCTTTGGCAAAAGACTGAGATTTCTCACTGCTTCCAGGTCCTACCTATTGAAACAAGAGAATAAATTTAAAATCCAAACTCATCCTTCTTCCCAATAAGGCAGACATGCTTAGGAGTTGCAGATCTACAGAAATCACAACTACCCTGGCCAGACTTACCAAGTTTCTCACAGTAGTGAAGCTGCCAGCAAGACTGGCACATAGTAAGCTGTGGAAAAGCTAACAAGCAGCACCAAATCCTACGCACAGAAAAAAATTTACCAATTTAATCTATTACTTCTCTTCCAAAAAGCACAAGATATTTCATCCAGATTTCTCTTGTCTTCATTCTATTCCTATAAGAATAGAAACAAGATTGTCATCACTCTCCCATTTTACAGATGAAAGGGAAGCAGGAATTTGGTTTCCGTCTCACTACTGATGTTGGAGTTCTAAATGAACTCTAGACTTTCACATTCTCTATAAATATGCTTCCTCCAAACAGCAGTCAGCCAAAGGTTTATACACAAATACCTAGCTCTTCTCCAATTCATCAGAAAAAGCCCTTGGGCCAAAAAATGTAATTCTCCAGTGCCCTGAACTAAGCTTCTTTGCAGAGGTAGAGCCCAATTTGCTCTGCAACAGAAATTTGTATTGTGCTTAGTGTGAGGGTTGGTGACAGAGCAGCCAATGACCATTAAATTCTGCTTCCAAAAGCAAAAAACCATATAATGTTATATGCCTTTTCCTCTTCCTAATCTATTAGACGTAGCAGCTAATTTCACGCCACACCTCATTTTTGGCATCTCTGGAATCTTAGACCAAGTATTGGTCAATATGGAACAAAGGCAAGACAAACCGCAAGAAAATTAGCAATCTATCCTATGTCATTACACACAGCTTCAGTCCTGCCCTTTACCCCCAATCTGATGAAAATTTCATCTGTATTGGTAAGTGAAGCATAGAATGCAGAGTTTACCACAAAAAAAGCTGTTTCAGCAGCCACACACTTTTTAAGACCTAAATGCCTAGCATGAGTTCATCAGGAGACAAATGGAGAACAAATGGCCTACCTGAAGGGCAACACGCTGATTTCTTTAGAGAGTATGGATTTAACCTGATCCCTCAAGAAAAGCCAACAACAGCTGGCACAGCTGTTCAGAAAGGGCAACAAGCCAAATTGAACCCACACTTTCCTCTTGAAGTACCCAAATTTTCATAAGAGGTCCATGGGTGAGGTGTTCCCAGTCCAGCATCAACTAAGAGCTTTTTAAAAATTCAAATTCTTGGGCACCACACATACCGATCTTAAAACAAAAAAACAACAAAAAACTCCACCAGTGATTCTAGTGCACAGCAAGGTTTCCAATGCGTAAGGTCTACCTGTTCTTTAGCCTTGCTTTGTGGCAGTATGTCTCAAGAATCCATCACATTAAGCAGCACCAAGACCAATTCCAATCTTTTTAAGACTCATTCAGAATTACAATCCATAATGGCAATCTCATCAAAGGAAGACTCATTTCACTGACACAAAACTTCAAATCTAATATTGAATGTCAAAAATCAGTCCACCTTTGAGGAATTCGGGGGAAAAAATATCTAAGTTTGGAATTTTCATTCATTGGCCTAGAACTCATTTATTAATGTTTAACATCCCACTCAGAATTCTCACATGGGCTTGAAAGAGAGCAAAGCTATTTTCTATTCTGGCAGCAATGGTCAACACACAGGCTTGAGATAGCAAGTACTTCTAGGGGAATGACCAGAAAAACCATCAAAACAGAATGAAGATGCCCAGTTGACTGCTGTAAGTTCCCATAAGTTCCTTGGGTCATTTGTATGCATGGATATGAAGGGAGTGGAGTGCAGGTACAGAGACTAATAAGCAAGGTGATCAACACCAGCTTTTTGCCCCAAAGGCAGACATTTCCAGAACCCCTTCTGCCAGACAATGGTAGAGAGACACCTTGGAAAACTTAAAAAGTGGGGCTAGGCCTAGAGGGGGGGTGGAGGTGGGCTGGGGGTTTCACATCATTCCCAACAAGAAAGATGCCAACCAGCTGAGAAGCGTCAGGAGTGTGAACTCTCTAAGAGGGAAAGCTGTTTCCACAATTAGCTCTGATCTAATGTCACCACCACCTTTAGTCCCAAGTCTGCCTCCTAGGGTCTTAAGACTCTATCTTAAGAACTGTCAAGATCGTACTAACAGTAGGAAAAAGGGGGAAACGATGCAAGAAAAGGAAGTTTGTAGACAGTCAGCGCCCCCCCGCCCCCCAGCTGGTCTCACCTCCCGCGTTCAGCTCCCGGCCCGCAGAGCCTCCCATGTCCGTCAGGCTCGCAGCTGAAGCAGCCAGCTCTCCAGAAGGCCTCTTGCCTGTCCCATCCCCACCGCCTGAGCCACCGTTGCAGCTCTTCGTGCGAAAGAGACGACTGAGGCGGATTTTAAAGGAGCCCTTCCGAGATGGGCCCGCGAGAGGCCGGAGGGGACCAGGAGGCGGCGGCGGTGGGGAGGTTGCTGCTGCTGCTGCTCCCCTCGACTCAGGCGCCCTGGAGGGACCAAGTCCTGCAGCGGAAAGGGCACCGGAGGTAATTCGGAGCCTGGAGGCTGCAGCAGAAGCCGGCTGCCCCCTCCTCCTCCACGGCCCGGGCTGCTGAGCTCCTCTTCCGAGCAGCTGTTAGTCTCCAGGCTCTCGGCCTCCGATTCCAAGCCTTCCAGGACCAGCAGGGCGTCGCTTGTTTCCGTGGGATCCTCCCCGGCCTGCGGGGCGGGAGCAGACAGCTGGGGCTGCGGAGGGGGCGGCTGCGGGGGACACGGACACGGGCAGCAGCCCCCACCGACCGTCTTGACCCCCGGCCCTGCCGGCTGCCCGAGACCCAGAGCCGCCAACTGCGCCTCTAGCCCAGCCACCGGGCCCCAGGACCGCTCGAGCGTCAAGCCCGGCGGCAAGGCCTTGGGGTCTAGGGCACAGCGGTGCCGGGAACACAGCAGTTCCGAAGGTCCCGGCTCTGGAGCCGCCTCCGCGTCCTCCTCCTCCGGCGGCCGACCCACGTTGCGGAACACCATCAGCTGCGGCGGCCGGGAGCCCCGCGGGCCGGACCGCGCAAGGAAGGGTGGCGGCGGGGGGCCATGGCCCGGGGGCGGCGGCGGTGGGCCTGGCTCCGGGGCCGCCTCTCCATAGCCGAGAAGGCGGCTCAGGACACGGTACGAAGCGGCCGCCGCTGCCGCCTCGCTATCCCGGAGCTCGGCCCCCTGCATCGGGGAGAGGGAGGGAGGGCGGGCGGCTGGGAGCCGGGCTGGGGTGGGAACTAGGCCGGGCCCCGCCGGAGCCCCGCCCGCCGCGGCCCCCGGAGCGACAGCGCTAACGGCCGCCGCGGCCTCTGCCTCATAGAGGGGCACCGGGGCCGGGGGGGGCGGGGGGCCGAGGGGGCGGGGGTGTGCGGAGCCCTGCGCAAGCCCAGGCCGCGCACCGCCGCCGCCGGGACCGCCCCCCGGAGTGGCGTCACTTCCGAGAGACTAGGCCACGCCCCTTTCCCCAGGGTGTACTTCACCGGCCTCCACTGCGCGTGACGTTGCGCGCACCGGACCGCTATTGGCCGCGAACAGGTTTTCTACTCGCGTGGGTCTCCTGCCCCGACCCCTGCTTTTCACTTCCTGGGCGCCCAGGCCCAGGCTCTTTCTCTCGGTAGAGTAGGGTGGGCCCTGGCACCGCGGTCTGGTCCTGGGAGAGAGTCGCTGGCCTTGGAAGTGTCTGTAGTTCTTGTTCCGATTATGCTGCTTGCAATGTTTGTCCTGCCCCAATCGCTTCTTTGATCCGTTGCCCTTCCTGGCATCCACAGAATTATGGAATGACTAAATGAACAAAGTGTTCTAGATCCAGCGGTGTACTACTAATAAGTGTGTAAGAACAGGTTTTCTGGGGGAAGGGAATGTATGTGCATAGATATGTATATAAATTGTTCATAAATTTTGCTGATATAAAGGTTGTGTAGCCCATAATTTCCAGATAGTAAAAAAAAAAAAAAAAAAAAAACAGTTTCATATAACTGATACGGAAAGCTTTCAGTGACTTTTGAAATCTGATTAATTGTGTGTGTTGCCGGGAACAGAACCCAGGGCCTCGCACATGCCAGGCATGTACTCAACAGCTGGGCTAGGTCTCTCCCTGCCCCCATGCTTGCCAAACTCTTATAGGAGTAACTGACTTGGTTACAAGTTACCAAGGCATGTAATTGTGACAAGAATATCGGTTTATATTTTTTCTCTCTTCATGCCAGAGGAAAGTGAAAAAGTAAACAACAAACTCCATTGGATTTTCAATAATGGGAGAGGCTTCTTTGCTGGATCAGAAAACAATTTTCAAATACAGGAAAGGCATTTTCTCAATTTTTGAGCTTTTCATAATGTAACAACGACAAACATAACACATGAAGTTTAAATCTGAATTACTAAAATATTCCCCCATCCCATTGCTTTATTAAATCTAGGTAGCCAGAAAAATAATAAATCAAGCGCTGATTTATAGTCCTTGCCCAATGGCTAATTTCAATCATTCTGACCCTCTCTCAAAAAAAAAAAAAAAATCACAAAAAAGGGAGGGTGGAGTGGCTCAAGGTGTAGGCCCTGAGTTCAAACCCCAGTACCAAAAAAAAAAAAAAAGAAAGAAAGAAAAACTACCTTACAACATTCCAGACATTTTAACAATTGACTTTCACAAGCTGGTAACACAAGCTGCTCCAGAGCACCACTAGACCTCAGTTTTCTCATCTGTTAAATGGAGAAAAGGACTGCAGTCTTGCTTACTTGGAAATGATGTTGTGAGGATCAAATAAGATCAAGTTTACTATGTGGAAGAGGTGAGACTAGAGGCAGGGAGACAAGTTAGGAACCCATTACAGTTGTTACTATGGGAGACACTGAAAGTCACAAGGGAAGCTGGGCACAGTGGTTCATATCTGTAATCTCAGCTACTTGAGAGGTGGAGATCAGAAAGATTGAGGTTCAAGGTCAGCCTGGGCAAAAAGTTGTTAGAAAGACCCCATCTTAATATGCTGGGTGAGGTAGTAAATGCTTGTAATCTGTGATCCCAGGTAGGCAGGAGGCCATAGGTATACAGAGGATCAAGGTCAGAGGTTGGCCCTAGGCAAAAAACAACTGGAAAAATAAAGTAAAAAAGGCCTGGGGGTGTGTTTAAGCCTCAGTACTGGGAAGGGAAGGGAGGGAAGGAGGGGGGAGGAAGGAATTCACAACAGATAAGGAGTAAGGGTAAGTCAGCAGAACTTAGCAGTTTCAGTGCCTGAAGGTGCATTGAGGGGAAGGCTAGAAGTGTACTATGAGTCCTGCAGCCAGAGGGACCTTTACAAAATGTTTACCACCTGTGATTATGATTGTTCATGCTTTCTCATTGTTCTTAGGGTAAAGATAAGGCTCCTTAAGAAGGTCTATGGGGTCCTAGTGATGGGATCCCTGCTTCTCTCCGGCTATCTCTCTCATCAAGCTATACATTGTTGTCTGTCCCTTGTATTCCCCTTACAGTGTGGCAGTTTCTGCAGTGTTGTTGGGGATGGAACCTGGGCTCATGCACATTTGGCAAGCATTCTACTACTGCCTTACATCCCCAACCCAGCTGTTCTCCTTTCTTGGAAGACTTTTTCTTCTTTTTGTACTTAGTATTCTCCTGCCCATCCTTTCAATTCTTCTCTCCTCAGTATCCAGAGAGATCTCCCTGCCTGAATCTTTCCTCCCCTCTGAGCTTGGAGATTGATCCTTTGTTGTACTTAATTGTCTATGTGTTATTTAACTAAAATCTGCCTGCTCTACTAAACTGCAAATTCTGTGAGGGCTCAGGCTATGTTTGCTTTCTGTCCTCATGGACTCTCCAGTGCCAAGGACTGTGCCTGACATGGAATAGGCCCTTGATACATAAGGGTGGAATGGCTGTATAATCTTAGGCCTCACAAAGGAGTCCTGGTACAAATTCATCTCTACTGCACACAGCCTACCTCAAACAGGAAGAAACAAACTGCAACCCAATTAGTTATTTAGCTAAGTTCAGCTGGTTCAAAAAGGTGTAGTAGAATTCAAAACCAGCTGTCTGATCCCAAAGATTTTATTCTCTATCTTCCCCCCTGCCAGCTACCTCTTATATATCACTGAGGTGTCTAGGGAAAAGAAATTGCTATAGGATCTCAGAATTCCTGAGGCCTAAGGAGACCCACTGCTGAAGAGCCCTGGCTCTCTCTGGGAAACTGATTCCAGAGTTCATTCTATAAAGGCACGGTCTGTTTCTCTGCAGCGCCCTCTGCTGTCTAATCCGTTCTTGGCCTCAATGAGGCTGCCTATGTCAACCATTCTGGTAGGTAATTCCACTTGCTCAGAGCACATAGAGAGGTACAGGGGAACACACACAAGCTCTTTGTAAATCAGGGTAAGGAATGCTGCCTTTCCCTGTTCCCCCAATTTTTCAGGCCTATAGTCTAAGTATTGGGAAAAAAATGAGAATTAAGCTCTGAGCAAAGATGTGTATCTTGTGTTTGTATGACAGATTTGTGTTTTTGTTGATCTTGTTTTATACCTACATATAACTCTTTCACTGAAGGCTATGAAAGTGGCTCCTATAAGCTAGGTGTTGTGGTACATGCCCGTAAACCCTGGAGGCTGCAGCAGATGGATCTTGAGTTCAAGGCCACCTTGGGCAACATAAAAGGAAAGAAAAAAAAAAAAAAAGCCAGACACTTGTGGCTTATGCCTGTAATTCTAGCTGCTCAGGAGGCAGAGATCAAGAGGATCACGGTTCAAAGCCAGCCTGGGCAAATAGTTTGTGAGACCCCCCCCTAACTTGAAAAAACCTTTCATGAAAAAGAGCTGGGAGAGTGGCTCAAGGTGGTGTAGGCCCTGAGTTCAAACCCCAGTACCACAAAAAAAAAACTCCCTGTCTCAAAGAATGTCTATATAATAATAATAATAGTAATAGTAATAGTAATAATAGTAATCATCTCAGAACCTGTTTGTCATTTGTAAAGATGGATCAGTCTTAATTCCCTCTCCTTAATAAGGCTATTGCTGTGATTAAATGAGAGCACATATAAAGGGGCTTGATAAATTCTAAAGCACTATACAAATGTTAGGTATTATAAAAAAGCTTTGTTGGGGAAAAATTGTGTTAACTTACTATTTTAGGTGTATTTTGTTAGCCCTCAACTCAATAACCAGTAACACCAAGAAATAGAATAGGTCGTCATTCCCTTTCTTTCCTTTCTCTGTCAGCATACAGAATCAGAGAAGCTAAGGAAAGAACTATGGATGCGCAGTACAGGTTTCTGTTCCCAACTGTGCCACTAACTAGCTGATGGTTTTGGAAATGTCACTTCCCTTTCAGGTTTTATTTTCCTTACTTATCTGTAAAGAAAAGTGTGAGCTATGGGCCAGAAGGTGTAGTTTTGACATCACAGAGACTCTCCTGGGGGGTTGCCATTTAGTGTCCTCTCTCCCTCCCTCTCCTCTTGAGATCCACAGCAGAACTGTTGTTTACAGAGCCACCAATAAAGCAAGAGAAGTTTTTAACAACCACCATCCATTGCTTGCTACATTCACTCAGTGATCTAGGACATCAAAGGTTTTAGGGTTAGGGTTAGAAGAGAAGAAGTCAAGAGACACATGTGCCTGTGGGGCCAGGTAGGTGGGAAGCACCTGGATGGAAAGTGACAGAAAAGGAAGTGGGGTAACAGGAAGGCAAGAACTTTGTTCTGTCTTCCCCCTAGAACCCACACCCTTCTGAATCCAAGGAAGCTGGCTCAGACGCCTAACTCTGGGCCCCCAGTTATTGTGTCCAACAAAGGGAAGGATGTCAAGTGTAAGAAAATGGAGTACAAGAGTAGTCATAGTTTCATGGAGAAGGCAAGCATTGGTATGATAACAAGAAGGTAGAAGCCAGGCATGGTGATCCATGAATGTAATCCCAGTTCTTGAGAGGCTGAGGCAGGAGAATCTTGAGTTCAAGGCAGCTACATGCAAGACTCTGTCTCAATAAAAAAAAAAAACAAAAAACCCAAGCTGGTAGAGTGGCTCAAGCAGTAGCCTTCCTAGCAAGCATGAGGCCCTGAGTTCAAACTCCAGTGCCATACACACATGCAAAAAAAAAAAAAGAAAGAAAGAAAAGAAGAAGGAGAAGAGAATGGAGGCAAAACTTTATTCACTCTCTTCCCTCTTCTGCTTCCCCACCCCCACTTTGCTGCTGTGCCTGTTAACTCTGTGGGGGCATGAAAAGGAAGAGCTGAGTTGGGAGAGGAGAGGTGGGTGAGGCTCCAGCTCTGTCAGGGACAGCATTGTGATCCTAAGGAAGTCCCTTCATCTCTGGGCCTTGGTTCACGTCTTGGTTAGGGATCATCATAGTCTGTGAGGTTGAGGGTGATGTGGGGATGGTGGTGATTTGATTAGGCAGAGCAAGGGACTCAGAACTCCAGGCTTGAATCTCACTGGATGTGAGCAGCTATGTACTCTGAGGGAGGAGTTGTCTCTGAGCCTCAGTGTCTGCACCTGTGAAACGGGGATAAGAATATTCACCATACATGGCTGTGGACAGAATGCATTGAAATGATGTGCAGGAAAAACACTTTATGAACTGCTACAGTCTAGACAAAGATTCTGTGATATTTCCTACCCTTGCCATTCCCAATCCCAATTCCAGTTGAGCAGCTGATGTCAGTAGATGCAGGCAGCCAGAGCAGACTGCCAGGAGATGCAGCCTGGCCTTTATCACGTCCGTTGCAACTGCTGCCAGGAGGCCAGGTGGAGCAGAGGGGTTGAGAGAGGGGCATCGGCTCATCTGCAGTTGCTATAGCACCCCATCCTGGATTTGCCATCCCTCCTAATGAGCAAAGAGCAGAGGGAGGAGGGGTCAGGGTAGGGAGAGTACAACTGGTCCTCTCCTCCCCCCCCCCACCCCGCTCTCTCTGGAGCAGATGTGGGGTGGGAGAGTAGAGAAAGCAAAGCCTGGGTACTGGATCAGAGAGGGAGGAAAAAGTAGTATGCCAGGATTAAAAGGTTTTGAAACAAGGGGGGAACCTGATAAAGGAGGGGCAGAGCCCTCATACCTATGTCCAAAAGCCAGCTGATGATGCTGGGAGAAGAAAAAACAAGCAAGACAGCACCAGCTTTACACACACACACACAGAGAGAGAGAGAGAGAGAGAGAGAGACACACACACACACACACACACACACACACACACACGAAGAGGAAAAGGCAGGAGAGAAGGTGTGGAGGCAGGCAGCCTGTGACTGCAGCCAGCCTCTGCTTGGGCTCTCCTGAGCACCAAATTCCCCAGGCAGCCTGGACAACAGGATCGTAAGAGCTGCTCTGAGGATGGGCACCGGGGCAGTGGTCATGCCCTCTCCTGTGTGGGGTTACTGGGCTGTTACTTCTTTTGTGGTTGGGTTCTGGGGGGCCCACGGTCCCTCCGCTCTCTCCCTTCACTGACCTCCCAAGGCAAGCCAGGATCTGTGCACATGTGGGAGCCCCCACAGGGGGCTGAGGCAGCCCTGGCTTTTCTCTACTCCGGAGATGCCCAACAGCTGCTGGGAGTGAATTGCAGCAAGCATTTTGAAGCTCGTGGGGCAGAAGCTAGACCAGGGATCCCCTCAGTCCTACAGAGGGCAGCAGGCACTCTTGCTCAGGCTGCTAACTTCCTCAACATGCTCCTTCAAGCCAACGACATCCGTGAGTCCAGTGTGGAGGAGGATGTGGAGTGGTACCAGGCACTGGTCCGCAGTGTAGCTGAGGGAGACCCAAGGGCCTACCGGGCTTTGCTAACTTTTAACCCTCCACCAGGGGCCAGCTACCTACAGCTGGCCCTGCAGGCGACCCGGATGGGAGAGGAGACCATCCTTCAGGATTTGTCTGGGAACAGGGTGAAGGAGAGCCCAACTGGGGACCTGGACAGCCCTGCCCTGCAGAAGCGGGTGCTGACCAATGACCTAAGGAGCCTCGAGAGCCCCAAGTGGCCACGGGGGGATGGATATGTGGGGGACATACAGCAGGTGAGGCTGTCTTCTCCCTTCCTGGAATGTCAAGAGGGCCAGCTCCGTCCTGGCTGGCTGGTCACCCTCTCTGCCACCTTCTATGGACTCAAGCCAGACCTCAGCCCAGAGGTCAGGTAAGTGGGCATAGCAGGATTTGGTGGATTTGTGGGGATGGGGGATGGAAGCACAAGTCTAACCAGCTGTGCATGGGCCATTTGGCAAGAACATGTGTATGTCTGGGGGGGGCACAGATGTGTATATTTGTATTCTACTAAGTGTATTTACAGCCAGCTCTGGGAATCTATAATTATCTGTTAGCATGTAGAGGTGTGTGTGTACATGTTGTGTATAAATCAATCCATGTACCCATGTTAATCTGGTATCTATTTGTATTTATGTACTTGTGCACATGAATGAACATCTACAAACATGTGCATATACAGGTAGTTATGAATATATAGGCATACATCTATATGCAGGTATATTAATGTGTGTACAGATGTGTGGTTATAGACAAGAACAAGGCTTGGCTCTCAGGTCTGAGGAGTGGATGTAAAAGGCAGCAGAGCCACGTGCTGGTGACTCATACCTGTAATCCTAGCTACTCAGGAGGCAGAGATCAAGAGGACTGTGGTTCAAAGCCAGCCCAGGCAAATAGTTTGTGAGAACCTATCTCAAAAAACCCTTCACAAAAATAGGGCTGGTGGAATGGCTCAAGGTGAAGGCCCTGAGTTCAAGCCCCAGTACCACAAAATAAAAATAATAATAAAATAAAAAATAAAAGGTAGGAGAGGACTTTGGTTGGATGACAATGACAATCCATGCACCAGGCTTCTTAAAGAAGCCATGTGGGCACACCAGAAGGAAAATAACTGGGCAGGGGCTTGGAACCAAAGCCTTTTCTGCTAAAGAGTTTTCTGAGTCCCTAAGGTCATTCTCAATGCCCATAGTCTTATGCAGAACAGGTCCCAGCCACTGTCCTGCCTGTCCTGACCAGGATACTCTTCAAGTAACTGACTCCTCCCTTCAGTAGAGTAAAGAGTTAGGAACCCTACTGGGAAGGGGACAGCAAATGAGCAAAACATTTACCAATCAACATTGGTTTTCCAGCTCTGTGTCCCCATTCATTGTTTCCAGTGGGATTCCCTCTTGCAAGCAGGCAGGCTGGCTCCTTGCCAGCTCTCTCCACACTCAATCCAGGATAGTGTTTAGGGAGCTGTTGGGTCAGGCAGCTCCAGCACAGAGCTCCTCCATTCCGTAACTCCTTTGCTGTGATCCGTTCAGACCTGGCTTGGGCAAGGAGGTGATTAATAGTTAAGCTGAGCGTGTATGTGTGTACGTGCAATGGGCAAATGTGAAAATCCCCTCCAGAGAGATCATCAGAGCCCGGGCTTCTGCATGTCTTGACAAGTCTCTTCCCTCTATCCACTGATGGAAACCAGGATGTTGAAAAGTGGAGGGGTCTGGGGAGCCACGTAAACTGGGAGGGAGATTGTTGCCATAGAGACAGGGTTAATAGCACTGGAGAAATGGAATGCATGTGAGTTACTCTGCAGTTATTTTGCTTAAGTTTGCAAAGACTACATTGCCTGGTAGTCTAGTGCCCAGGAACACATGTCCATCTTGGTATCTATTACTATGTCCCTAAATACCAATTCACTGCCATAGGGGGCAGGTGCAGATGGACATAGATCTCCAGAGTGTGGACATCAATCAATGTGCAAGCGGCCCAGGCTGGTACTCTAATACACACTTGTGTGATCTCAACAGCACCCAGGTAAGGATAAGGGAGATGGGTGCCAGTAGGTCCTGCCTCCCTTCTCTTTCCCATCACTACCACTATCCAGCTCCCAGAAGCAGATAACAAAGCCACTGCAGCATCTCAGATCTTCATGGGAGTTCCTAGTGATTGGCAGAGATGATATGCCAGGCCTTGTAAAAGTAAGGGCACTTTTACAGCTTATCCTAGACCTCCCACACCCCACCTGAGAAATCTACCCGTTCCTTTGAAATACCAGTATGCATCCCTGTGTCCTCTCCTTTTTGGTACTCAGTGCTCAGTGCTCCAGGATCCCTTCCCAAAGCCACTTCTTTTTTTTTTTTTTGTGGTACTGGGGCTTGAACTCAGGGTCTTCACCTTGAGCCACTCCACCATCCCTATTTTTGCGAAGGGTTTTTCGAGATAAGAGTCTCGAGGAACTATTTGCCCAAGCTGGCTTCAAACCTTGATCCTCCTGATATCTGCTTCCTGAGTAGCTAGGATTACAGGCATGAGCCACTGGCACCTGGCCCAAAGACACTTCTGAGCCTCAATTAATCATCTCTTTCCCTTCCCTTGAACCACATGTTCCATGCCAACTCAGCTCTGGGCTCCTTGTGGCCCATATGGAAATACATGGAATTGCTGGTTGGGGTGCAGGAGGACAAGAATCTAACCAAACGAGCTTGAAGAGGTCTGAAGCTGGAGCAGGTGATGAACCCCAAGCCAGAAGCAGACAGGCTCAAAGTCAGAGTGCAGGTGCTTCGGGATGATGGAGAACAACGGCTGCCAGTCCTGCAAGCTCAACATTGGGAGGCTAAGAGGCCAGTGAACTTGTCCACCCCACGGTTACTCTGACTGCATGTGCATTTCCAATCTGAACTGAGGCCAACGCAATGCTGGCTACCTGTGGGGATGAGTGAGCATCTAACTCTGGGCATGCAAGTGAACTTCCTGTCTTCAGGGCACAAGTGTTTGGAGCTAGAAGTCGAGGAATGGAGAAAGATTCCCAACTTCTCAGTTCAGTTTTGGGTTTTTTGGTGCTAGGAATTGAATGCAGGTCCTTTGATGTGCGAAGATTATACTCAGTTCACTTTTTAACCCAGTCACATTTATTTCCCTAGGTATACATTTGTCTGATTGCATAGACTGTGTCAGGAACAGAGCACATTCCAGTGGTACAGCTGGCCCTCGATTTCATAACATTGCATTCTAACCCCTCTAGGCGAGGTCAGAGGCTGATTCAGAATTTCCCAAGGTGAACTCCTTCCTTTTCTCACTGATGTCTGCTCCCAGCCACTCTCCACAATAATCTACTTCATCCTGTCTGACTCTGGGGCCTGCTCCGTCCCCTGCTGGGCAAACATCAACGAATGGGTGGAGGTGGAACAAAGGGCTGGTCTTGGCATCCCACCAGACTGGCATTAGAGCTGGGGAATGCAGACCTGAGCCAGATGGCTCCTGATGGAAGAAGTGGGCCTCCATGGGGGACTTTTCAACTCACCTGTGGGCCAAAGAGGCTAATGGAGACTCTCTGAAGCAGGGTGAAGCCACACAAAGTACGCCTCATAGCTGAGCTCTTCCTACTTTCACCTCCTCCAGTCCCCTGGACTAGCAAAAGCTGGGCACTTGGAAATAGGACATGAGGCTTCTGCTACTGATCTGAACAAAAGGGTGATCTAAGCAGTAATCTTTTCTCCTTGAAAACATAAGTTTTCCTCCTTTCAAAACAGTAAGGGATAGGGTAGAGTTTCCAAAGAGGGAAGGCCTCACAAGGACTAGAGAGAGCTTCTGGTAGGGTTTCTCTTACGAAAACCCAGAAGCCATGGATAGGGAGCTAGATGGACCTTCCAACTCCTCCTAGGAGGGAAAGGTCTTCCAGAGAAAGGGCCCATATAAATACATGTCACTTGTCATTCACAGTGTGTCCCCCTGGAGGGTCAGGGCTTTGTCCTTGGTCACTACCTCTGCCACTGCCGACCTGGATTCTACGAGGAAACAGACTCTGGGGGTATGTAAATGTCCAGGAAGGTGTTTTACAGGCTAGGCTAGTTGGCAGGGAACAACTGGGGAAAGGACAAAAGGACAGAAACTTGAGGGGCAAGGACAGATCAAGAGAAGCAGGAGAGGGCAGCAGGGCAATTTCAGGGAGTCTGCCTTCTCAGAATGAGCTCAAACATAGAGGTGTGATGCAAGTTGGCTTCCCAATGAGCCCAAACCTGGCATCACCTCTTCCTATTACCTGCCCTCCCCAGACAGCACCACTTCCTCATATCCCTGGAACCACAGACCACATGAGGACAGAGGACTAGTATCTCAAGATGCTCCAGTCAAGCTCTTCTCCCTGTATCCATCTTGTTCTTTCTAGGATTAGGGAGTGCCACACAGACTACGGAACAATCTGGGTCCCAACAGGGCAGTTCAGGGAAGCTGCTTCAGTGTCAGCCATGTCCCGAGGGCTGCACCAGCTGCATGGATGCCACACCGTGCCTGGTGGAAGAGGATCTGGCATTGCGGGCAACAGTGCTGGCCTTCCAGGCCTGCTGCATGTTGGCTGTCTTCTTGAGCATGCTGGTTTCCTACCGCTACCGCTGGAGCAAGGCAAGGAAAGCCCACATCTCTCTCTTACACACACATCCTACCCATCTTCACTAGACACCTGAGACTTAGGGGAATGGGTGCCAGTCTTAATTCTAAACCTCACTATGTAACATTAGGCAGTGACCTTAGACCTATTTCTCTCACCTGCAAAATGAAGGCATTGGACTTAATTCAACAATGCTAGTTGAATATCTACTCGAAGCAAAACACTGCAGAGCTACCATGTAAGTGCTCAGTTTAATGGAAGAAGCACACATGGAACTAAAATGACAGCATAGTGAGACAGCTGTCAGTTGCTGTGGGAGCTCAGAACAGAGACCCAGTTGTCCTGCCTGAGATGCCGTCAGAAAAGTTTCTGGGAAAAGTGGTATTTGAGCCAGGCTTGAAAGCTAACTGGATGTTTATTGGGAAGTGAAGGAGCATCCTATTCCAGGCCAGGCCACAGTCTAACGCAAAGCTTGGAGGAAGGCAGGAGAGCCTATCTAGCTGTAGCAACCTCTGATTTGAGCCCTGTGTGAGACTGGGAGAGCATGGGGCTTAGCACTTGTGCAGCTAGAACCTGAGGAGGAGGTGAAAGACCGACTGTGGGCAAAGGATGGAGCTAATGTTACAGGGTAAAACTCAGGGCTAGAGTGACTTCTCTAAGAGTCCTGAGACCCTCTAGCACCATCACTGAGGCTCAATCCCTCCGCTACCCTGCTCACTTGCCTCTCTCTTCCCTGGGCTCACAGAGGATCCGGGCATCTGGAGTTGTTCTGCTGGAAACTATCCTTTTTGGATCCCTGCTTCTGTACTTTCCTGTAAGTTTGTGGCCATCACCCGTGGAATCCCCCCATAGACCCAAACTAGCACACTCCAAACCCCAAAATCCTTCTTCCTCTGTACCTCTTAGGAAGATCCAGAGACCTCAAAATCTCTCTACTCTTTTTTTTGTTTGTTTGTTTTATTGAGCTGTAATTCTTTTTTTTTTTTTTTATTTACAAGGCTTGGTTCATTTCTCCCCCTGCCCCCACCCCCTCCCAAAATCTCTGTACTCTTAACTACAATGGGTAGGCCAGTGTAGTGAGCCTGGAGCTAAACAGTGCCAGGCTTAAAAGAACTTTAGACCTGCTGTATGATTTAGGACAAGTTACCTAGCCTCCCTGATACTTAGGCTGCTCCTCTGCAGAATGGTGATGTTGCCTCTAGTGTAGGGCTGTGGAAGGTGAGTCACATGCACAACATGAGCCTAGTACACAGCAGAAGTGCAGTGAAAACAGCTTTCTGCCCCCTTCCCACCAGGTCTTCATTCTGTACTTCAAGCCCAGTGTATTCCGCTGCATCGCTCTTCGCTGGGTCCGGCTGCTGGGTTTTGCCATCGTCTATGGGACCATCATACTCAAGCTTTATAGGTAGGGCCTGGAGCAGACTTTGCTTTCACACTGCTCACCCAGGCCACCCAACTTAGGGAGTTTTTCAAAGTTAGACTCTTACCAGCTCCACTCCCTTTTACCCCCAAGCCTGTCCCAATCACTCAGCCTTCCACTCCACGTAACTTTTTTGGGGGTGCAGCAAACTGTGGAAAGGACAGGACAAGTAAACTTGTGGAGGGGAGGGCAGCTTGGTCTTCCCAACGTTCATGTGTACTCTAACCCTACAGAGTGCTTCAGCTGTTTCTGTCTCGAACGGCCCAGCGGGGCCCGCATCTGAGCAGTGGGAAGCTGCTGCGGTGCCTAAGCCTGCTCCTGCTGCTTGTTCTGTGCTTCCTGGCTGTGTGGACAGCGGGTGTCCTGGAGAGAGGCACCCAGCACACACCTCTGGTGACCCGAGGCCACACTACTACTGGCCGCCACTTCTACCTCTGTCACCACGACCGCTGGGACTACATCATGGTTGTGGGTGAGTCATTTCTACTGATCCCAGCCTCCCTCTGGTCCACAGCTCCACAACTCCAGGGTCCTGCTTATCCTGCCTTGTACTCAGATTCTAGACCTAGGCTCCCCAGTGCACCCTGCAGAGAAGCAGCAGCAGCTGCTGAGGTGTGAGCACTCTCCTTCCCCACCTCCCCACCTCCTCACCTCCCCGCAGCTGAGATGCTGCTGCTGTGCTGGGGCAGCTTCCTCTGCTACACCACCCGGGCTGTCCCCTCCGTCTTCCATGAACCACGCTACATGGGCATCGCCCTGCACAACGAGCTGCTGCTCTCTGCTGCCTTTCACACAGCCAGGTAAGAACAAGACCACTTATACCTACCTCCTCACCCTGCGAAGGTATAGCCCCGACACCACTCCTCATCTCCCAGATGCAGGGCCTACCCCACGGCCGTCCTCACTATACTACTGTACCTCAACAGGGTGAGGAGAGGCCACGCATAGTCCTCCTGCACCCCATGTCTCACACAGATGAGGAGGCCCTGAGCCAAAAGAAGAGAAAGTATGCCCCATTTCTAATTCCTGTTCCTAAGCCCACCTTTCTAGCAACCCCAATATATGTCTTCCCACACATCCTTCGCTTCTCCCTGCCTTCTCCCTCACCTAGTCATTTAAGCAGCAGACCCGCTGTGTGTCCATGGGGACCTGGCCCTGTGGTGGAGACAGATTCAACCTACAGGATGATCCTAGCAGTCTGTGTGTGTATGTGGTACCGGGGCTTGAACCCAGGGCCCACACCTTCAGATACTCCTTTTTTTTTTTTTTTTGGTACTGGGGTTTGAATTCAGGGCCTACTCCTTGAGCCATTTCACCAGCCCTTTTCTTGTGACAGATTTTTTGAGATAGGGTCTTGTGAGCTATTTTTCCCATCTCACTTCAAACTATGATCTTTCTGATCTCTGCCTCCTGGAGTAGCTAGGATTATAGGCGTAAACCACCAGCACCCAGTTTATCCTAGCAGTCTTGAGCACGATTCTGTTCTGTAAGCTAGGCAGCCAGAAAAGGTGAGGTAGAGTAATCTGGGTGGGCTTCTAGGAGGTGGGCTATGAAGTTGCATCTACATCTGGGAGAGAGCAGGAAGAGCTCCCTCCTTACTCAGGGATGGCTCTGGGGAGAAGAGCCAATGAGGTGAGGTGGGCAGGCTGCCCATACCTGCACTAACAATCATCCCCATCCCCATGGCCCCCAGGTTTGTGCTGGTTCCTTCCCTGCATCCAGACTGGACCCTCCTCCTCTTCTTCTTCCACAGTCACAGCACAGTTACTGCCACACTGGCTCTGATCTTCATCCCTAAGGTGAGGTCTTCTCCCATCTGCATGAGGCTGACTCTGGTCCCTTGTAAGGGCATTGTGGATCTGCTATCACTACAGCACCCTCTCCAGGTCAGGGAGAGGATGACAGAGGATTCTGGGAGTGAATGATCTCTCAGCAGCCTATTCAAGGACTTGGGGAGGGGGGGAAGAAGCCATTCCCTGCTTCCATTTCCCAGGTGAGGAAAGTAGTGCCAGTGCTAGAGGGGTCTTTTTAACACAGCTGGTGAACTCTGAAACTGTTTGGATGTGGTTAGAGAAACAGGTAGGGAAGCTGAAGGCTATGGCTAGGGATTATGGGGACTGGAGGGTAGAATTACCCTGGTCTCTGAGCTAGAAAAGAGAAGATGAGGGAGAGTAAAACTCTATGGACCCTTGGAATTCCAAATCAGAAAAGGGGCAAAGACTCACAAAGTAAAGAGGTACCCCATATGGTAACTGAGAGTAGAAGTGGACAGGAAGTCATGGTGAGTCTTTTCCACCATACACACCCATGTTGGCCAGTTACGGAAACCAGGGGCGCCTCCACGGGAGGAGATCTTGGATGAAGTATATGAAGATGAGCTGGACCTGCAGCACTCAGGCTCCTACCTCAATAGCAGCATCGCCTCAGCTTGGAGTGAGCACAGCCTGGACCCGGGGGACATACGGGTAAATGCCGTCTCTTCTCTGACTCTTTTGATACCAGTTTTTTTGTTTTGGTTTGGTTTTTTTGGCTGTATTGGGGTTTGAACTCAGGGCCTCATGGTTGCTAGGTAGGCACTCTACCACTTAAGCCACTCTGTCAGTCCTTTTTTGCGTTGAGTATTTTGGAAATAGGGTCTCACACACTATTTGCCTGGGCTGACTTTGAACTGCAATCCTCCTAATTTCTGCCTCTTGAGTAGCTGGGATTACAGGTGTCAGCCACCAGTGCCCAGCTTTTATACTGGCTTTTAAGGACTGAGCAGAGGGAGCACCAGACTAGGTGCCTCTGTAGGTCCTCTCTTCCTTCCAAGACTGCCCCTCTGTTCACCACAACCCTAAATTGACTCCCCTGACTATTCAATAGAGGCCATGCATCACCCAAATTAAAAGACTCCAAAAGCCCACAGCCCAGACCCTGGAAACCCAAGCCACATGGCAAATTAGAAGCATGGCCAAAGTGGATCCTTAACTCCTCATGCCCTCATCATGAGGGGCAGACTAAGAAACCTGTTAGTCCCCAGTGGCACAGTTGGTGACCTCAGGGTCAGCTGTGGTGCTGGGCAGTTCAGGCACTAAGTGACCAGCACAATTTCTACCAGGAGCCCCTTTCCCTGGACCTGGCAGTGTTCAAGAAAGGAAGACCTCCTTGGACTTACACTAGAAGAACGTGTTTACTTTTATTTGTCAGTTCAAGGGGATTATTATCACAGGAACCATAAGAGGCTCAGTAGGTAAAAAAATCAGGAGACCTGGCAATTTTGTAAATGTAAGGCACAGGAGCCATCTTGGGAAGCCATTTTTCATCCCCTGCAGCAGTTCCCTCACCTGACTTGTCTACAACCTTGTGAGTCTTCCATATCTCCCAATTCCTTCCTCATCCCAACTACCTCTCCCATTTTTCCATGTCCTTTTTTTTTTTTTTTCCTTGCAGTACTGGAGCTTGAACTCAGAGCCTATACCTTGAGCCACTCCCATCAGCTCTTTTTTGTGAAGATTTTTTTTCGAGATAAGATCACTTGAACTATTTGCCTGGGCTGGCTTTGAACTGCAATCCTCCTGATCTCTGCCTCCTGAGTAGCAAAGATTATAGGCATGAGCCACCAGCATGAGCCACCAGCACCTGACCCCCATGTCCTCTTGGCTCTCTTAGCCCTGCCTGCTCTGCCTTCTGTCCCCCTCTGTGGCTCCAATCCAGCTGTGAGGCACTGCACACCATCCTCAGCCCCCCACTTTCTGTAACGTAAGCCAATCTGTTCCCCTTTTGCTGGCTCTGGAAATTAAAAGCTGTAAGATTTTAATTTACAACTAAATTCTTTCTGCCTGCTAGTTCCATCAATCTCATATAATCCTCTTAAGGAAATGAACATGGGTCAGCTAGGTGCTATCACTTTATAAAAGATGAAGAGGCACAGAGAGGTCAAGAAAATAGCCTCAGATAGGTGCACTGGTCTCATCTATAATCACACCTATAATCCTAGCTACTTGGAAGGCTGAAATCAGGAGGATGGAGGTTTAAGGCCAGCCCAGGCAAAGGGTAAGCAAGACCCCCATCTCCAAAATAACCAAAGCAAAAATGAACTGGAGGTGTGGCTCAAGAAAAAAAAAAAAAGAACAAAAGAAAATAGCCTCGAGGCACAAATAGGTCAGCAGTCTCAAATTGTTCCCTGTAACCACACTGGTGATGTTTCACCAGACCATAGTGAAGGGAGGGCACTCTGAGCCCTCAGATGAATGGATCCAGCTCTGAACCAGGTTTCCCTGGTCTTGTAGGAATGGAGAAATAAATTATGAGTTTTAGAAGCAGGGAAGGGACACAGCTTGATGGAAAATGGTCTAAACAAGAGCCAAGGGGGAGACCAGCACAATCAAAGGCTGGGAGAGCTCAGCTGTCCATCTCAATGGCAGCTCTGCTTTCTTTGTCCTTTTCCACCCTGCAGGATGAGTTAAAGAAGCTCTATGCCCAGCTGGAGGTCTGCAAGACCAAAGAAATGGCTGCTAATAACCCTCATTTGCCCAAGAAGCAAGGCAGCTCACGTCAGGGACTGGGCCGCTCCTTCATGAGATACCTGGCTGAATTCCCCGAGGCCCTGGCCCGGCAGCATTCAAAGGACTCAGGCTCACCGGGCCACAGCAGCTTGCCTGGCTCCTCTCGCCGCAGGCTCCTCAGCTCCAGCCTCCAGGAAGCCAAGGGGCCCCCAGCCCTGTGCAAGTCCCACAGCACCTACAACCAAGGGGAACAGGACTCACCTCTCCTCAACTCTCTGCTGAGAAGGAACCTGTCCAAGAAAGCCTCTCGAATAGAAAACCAGGAGTTGGTGGAGGGGCCCTCTGCCCTGAGCTTCAGGTCAGCCAGTGCCCACAATCTAACGGTGGGAGAAAGGCTCCCCAGAGTCCGGCCCACCTCTCTGCAGAAGTCACTCAGTGTGGTGACTGGCTCCAGGGAAAAGGCCCTGCTGGTAGCCAGCCAGGCCTACCTGGAGGAGACCTATCGGCTGGCAAAGGAGAGAGAGGAGCGAAAGAAAGCCGAGGTGGCTATGGTGAGCCCAGTGCGGAGGCCATCAGCCAGGAGGTTGGAGCGGACTCGAGGGGCCCCCCTGTCAGCTCCACCTTCCCCTGCGAAGAGCAGCAATATGGACAGCTCTCGTGCCTCTGGGAATCTTCATGAGGAAGCTAGAAGAAGGCTGCCTCACCCACCCATCCGGCACCAGGTCTCTACGCCAATCCTGGCCTTGTCTGAAGCCTGCCTGGGAGAGCCAAGGACGCTTTCTCCCACCTCCACCTTGGCCCCAGCTCTAACGCCAGCTCTGGCTCCAACACCCCACCCTGCCCTGGCACCCGTCCCAGTGCCCCCCCAGAGTCCCAGCTTACTCACCTTCATCTGCCCCTGGGAGAATGCAGAACTGCCAGTCAAGAAAGAAAATGTGGTCCCAGAAGGTCCTTCAGGGACAGAGCAAGGCAGCCACTCCACTGCCCCAGCTAGAGCCAGGCTCTGGAGGGCCCTCTCTGTTGCAATAGAGAGAAAGGGCACTGGGGAGAATGAGATGGACAAAGAAGACGGGTGTCTCCAGGGAGAGGCTGATGATGTGGAAGAAGACAAGCCCAAAATCTCCAAATCCCACAGCCTTAAGACTCCTGTGCAGCAGGGCTCCATGCGCAGCCTGGGCCTTGCTATCAAAGCTCTGACACGTTCTCGGAGCACATATAGAGAGAAGGAGTATGGGGAGGGCAGTCCTGAGAAGGAAAAAGGCAGGGCTGCAGGCACCAGTGTGGGGGCTTCCCCTCGATCTCCCAGGCTAGGCCGGCCCAAGGCCGTGAGCAAGCAGGCTGCCCTTGCTCCCTGTGATGATGAGGAATCCTTCCAGAACCAACAGAATGCCCACACCAGCAGAATACTCCAAGTCTATCACCAGGAGGGCAACAGAGAAAAAGAGGACAAAGGTAGGAAGACATCCCAGAGTCTAGGGGAGTGGAAAGTAGAGAAAGCAGGTAAAACAGGGCTTGCCACACTGAGGCAAATTTTGGGGGACAAAAGTGCTGAGCAAGCAAAGGAAGCCCCTGTTGGGAAGCAGGAGCGATCCAATGCTGGCCTCCAGCCTCTAGGCAGTGCTGGCCACTGGGTGGCAGAGGTATGCCCCTGGGAAGTCACTGAGTCAGAAACATGTCAGCTGGACAGTAGCAACAAGGCCAAAATTTGCCCCTGGTTGGAAAGTGAAGCAGCAACTGAGAGGAAAGCATCAAGACAAGATTTAGGTGACTCCCAAGAAGAGACAGGGAAAGCCTCAGAGCCCAAAGGTATGGTTGCCATTGCTCAGAAAAAGCCAGAGAAGCTGGTCAGGGGCCAGGAGGCAGTGTATCCCTGGGAAAGTATCAATCCTGGAGGTCTATCCCATCTGTCAGCCCCTCAGGACTCTGATAAAACCCAAGACAGGTCTGAGGCAGTGGGCAGTGTGGAGGTGAGAAGAGTGGAGAAGCATCAAGGGGAAGCCACTAGCCCAGAGGCTTGTTCACCTACCACTACCGAGGCAGAGCTGTACCCCTGGGAGGCAAGTGACAGGGAGCAAGGGACACCAGCTCAAGAAGTTAAGGAACTCCTCCAGGAAAAGCAGAAAGTCCCCAAGGAAACAACCTTCTGGAGCGCACAGAAACTAGATGGAGACCTGGAGTCTCTCTGTCCATGGGAGAGTACAGATTTTCGGGGCCCCTCGGCAGTTCCACTTCATGCCCCTGGAAGCCCAGGGTACTCAGGGAGTTTGGGCAGTAGCCTTGTGGAGGTGTGTCCATGGGAGGCAGGAGATGAACGTGCTAATAGGAAAGCAGAGGTCTGCCCCTGGGAGCTGAGTGATGAGCTAACAGGGAAGGAAGCATTGAGTCAGGGGGTGGTTGGGGAATCTCTCCCTAGAAAGGAGAAATCCTTCAGAAAGGGGAGCTCAGAAGAGATAGGGAATCAAACTGTGAAAGCAGTGCCAACAGCAAGTCAATGGCACAAGTCAGTGTGCCTCCAAGAGGGCACAGCCCCTGTGTGGTCCAGCCCATGTTCAGACAACTCCTCATCCAAAGCTGGTGGCCAAATCCTAAGCAATAGGGACAGCAGAGCAATGGTGTGTCCATGGGAAGTGCTCAAGCCAGAAGAAAAGAAAGCAATACCTGCCACAGCAGAAGTCTGTCCCTGGGAGGTAGATGGAAGAACAGAGAACTGGACATCAGGGCAGGCACCAAAAGAAGAATCTCAAAAGAACAAGGAGAAAATCCCTGGAAAAGAAGGAATCCAAGATGTCACGGCATGGGAAAAGCCTGAGAGGCAGATCCAAAAGCAGGAATCAGTCTGCCCCTGGGAGAGTGTGGACCCTGGCAGCTTTCCCCAAGACCCAGAGAGATCCCAAGCTATTTTCCAGGGGCCAGGTAATACGGGAAGCAAAGCTGCTGAGATCTGCCCATGGGACATAGAGGAAACCCTAACAGCCAAGAAGGCAAAGATCTGTCCCCGGGAAGTGGGTGCTGGAGCAGAGGAGGAAAAGGCTTTAGGAGCTGAGGCCATTAGTAACTCTCCAAACCATATAGGAAAGACTTCTGCAGATTCTAGATCCAAGCAGACAGCTGTTACTGCTCCAAAGAAGTCAGAGAGACCTGCACTGGAACAGGAGGTGGCCTGTCCCTGGGATAGCTTTTGTTCAGGGGGCTCCTCTCAGCATTCAGACACTCTGGACCCTGACAGACCAAAAGCTGGACTCCAGGAGCTGGAGCATGTGGGCTGTAGGCCAGCAGAGATATGTCACTGGGAAGTGGAAGAAGCTCCCATTAATGAAAAAGCCAAGATCTGTCCCTGGGAGGTAAAGGAAAGAGCTACTGAGAAAGGAATGGAGAAAAAGATGAATCAATCAGCAGAACAATGGGAGAAAACTCTAGAAAACAGGAGACTCACCTCCCAGGGAGAAGGCATATCAAAATGGGAGGCAAAACTCCATCAAGAGCAGGAAGCTATTTGTCTTTGGGAGGACAAGGACTTAAGGGAATCATTTGATCAGGTCCCCAAGGTCTCAGACTTGTCTAGCAGCACTAGTAGCCAGGTGGCAGAGGGACATTCCTTGGAAGTGAGTGATGAAGCTACAGAGAAGGGGGATGTGAGACAAGACCCAAAGACAGACTGCTCAGAACACATGACCGAAGAAAAAGCTCCAGCTTTGAAAGCAGAAGTCACTACTGAACACAGAGAAAAAACAAGCAACAAGCTCCAATCTGTCTGCCCTTGGGAGAACATGGCTCCAGCAGGCTCTTCCTCCCACTCCAACAGTCAGTGCCTTGACCAGTCCAGAGCCAGCTCGCAGAGCCTGGTCAGTGCTGGGGGCAGAGTCACTGAGGTGTGTCCATGGGATGTTCCTGGCCTGGATAGCTGCACTAAGGCTGAGATCTGCCCGTGGGAGGTGACTGAGCGAATCCCTGAAAAAGGGGTATCAAGACCAGATGGAATGGGGGAATCTCAAGAGAAGGAAAGAACCCCAGAAAAATCAGAGCCCAAAGGTGTAGCAATTCAGAAAACAACAGAGACAGGTAACCTCAGGAAGCAGAAGATTGTGTGTCCTGGGGACAGTCAAGACTGGGAGGATCTGTCTCCACAACCAGCCTCAAGCACTTCTGAAGGAAGCAAAGGCAGTACTGAGGCAGCAGGCTGCATGGGGGCTGGAGTCGCAGAAGTGTGTCCATGGGAAATAGAGGAGGCTCTCTCTGCCAAGAAAGCAGAGATCTGCTCTTGGGAGGTGAGTACAGGAAAAGCGGGGGGACTGGAACAAGGGCTGGATGGAGAATCACAAGGGCAAGGAGAGGTGTTCCTTCAAAAGACAGAATTTGGAGGGGTTGAAGGACACTTTCCAAAAGCAGCAGCAAAACTCAACAGTAAGCAAGAGACAGTGTGCCCCTGGGAAGACACAGGGTCAGAGGGGCTTCTCCTCCAGCCAGACACTCTGGACACCAACCACACCAATGTCAGCCCCCATGGAGCAAGCAGCCTGGAAAGAATAGCAGAGCTGTGTCAATGGGAAGTCACAGATCCAGAAGGAAATATAATAAAGGGCACCATGGCAGACATCTATTCTTGGGAGGAAACTAGAGCCCCTTTTGAGGAATCTGGCCTCCTAGCTTTAACAGCAACACAGACAGAAAATGTCATTCCATCCCCTGAGCAATCACTATGCCTTTTAGTTCACAGACCTTTGGATAGCTTCCTTTCAGAAAGCAAGAGCCCCCACCCCAAGGTGAACAAGCCAGCCAGTACTTTTACTCTGGAAGGTGTCAGAGAACTACAAGGACCTTCAGGGCTTGAGCCAATGACCAACTTGGCTTCGGAGCCAAGTCTCCAAGAAGCTAAGGCTCCGAAGTCTTCCTCCTTAACTGGAGACCAAGGACTAATAGCTTCTGAAGTTCAAGATGAAGAACTCAGCCCTCCACCTGCCTATCCTTAGGCCTGGGAATAACAGCTTCATCTGGTGAGGTCAAATACTGAGCTAGCCTTCAGGAGCCAAGGTCCTTTCTAAATCCTGGTGTTCCCAAAGAGCTGAATCAAAGACACTTGGTCACTTCCCCTCCCTAGGAAAGCCAGAAGACAACTAATTCAAAAGACAAATTGTACAAGAAGGATGCAGTATGGACAGCAAGGGAAGTCCACCCTCTCTTTACTTTTCTTCCTGCTGGAGGAAACAACAGCTAGACCTTCTGTTTCCAAAGAATCCTCCTGCTTGTCCAGAATACTTGACACAGCCATGTGAGTCAGAGAACCCATTTGTAAGGCCAGTGTCAGCAATGAGAAGCAGTCAGCAGTGCCCACATTAGGGAGACTCAACAATTAAGTCTACCAAATTTCCATTTGTTGAAAAGAAACTGAACCTCACATAGCACTGGCAACACAGGGACTATTACCAGAGAAGGCTAAATTGCTGTATGAATCTAAGGAAGTCATTTAATTCAAATTAAAAGTTAAGTTGGGGGGGAAACTAAAAGGTCTTGCCACTTAAATATAGTGACTTTTTACTCTGAGTCTCCCATTTTTGCTTCATTGTTTCTCATACCTGCCCTGCTTGCCTGTGAAGTAGAAACAATAAGGTATTCTGACATCATGTGAACATCTGGCATTGAAAGTGACATCAGAGACATCACAGAGAACAGAGGAGAAGCAGTTTTTCCAGGTCCTCCACTCCAGGCAAGGTGGAGTTTTCCTTTCTGTATGTCTTCAGTATGCCTCCCACTAGCTTTTTTCTCCATCTGTCCCAGGTCTTGCTATCCTGTCCCAGGTCTTGCCAGTCGCCAGAGCTCATCTCACTAACCTGTTCTCCTTCTTCTAGTCTTTGAGCACTGTCTGCAACAAGACCCTTCTTTTACTAATGCCACAGGAGCCAATGGAGAATTTCTGCTTCTCGTGCAAAACCACTACAAATCACTTGCTTAGTAACAAGAGGCCACACCAGTCTCCTTCCAGAGGAGCCCAAGAAAGAAAAGAAGTCCTGTTTATAGCCAATATTCAAACTACTTCTGCTCTCAGAAAGAGTAGAGCTCTGGGGCAGTTGAGAAGCCAGAGGGCCAGGACAGGCATGATGCAAACACAAGCTCTTCTTTCTTAGGCAGTTCTCTCTTAGCTTGACTCTCTTCTCAACCGTTAGTTCAGGTTACCCTTGCTTAAGCAGGGCTAGGTAACAGAGTGCTTGAGGTTAGATGATACTAGAGGGAAATGAGGAAGGAGAAAAACATACAGAGAGAACTGGGAGTCAGTGGCTTATACCTATAATTCTAGGTACTTGGGAGGCTGAGATCAGGAGGATCATAGTTTGAGGCCAACTCCGGGCGAATAGTTTGGTACACCCCACCTCCAAAATAACCAGAGTAAAAATGGACTGGAGGTGTGGCTCAAGAAGTACAGTACCTCCTTTGCAAGTTTGAAGTCCTGAGTTCAAACCCTAGTCTCACCAAAACAACAAAAAGCATACAAAAGAAGTACTGGGTTTGGGAGAGGTTAGGTGGGGGGTAGAAATAAGCAGGCTACTATGGCAGAGTTGGTGGGGGTTTAAAGATGGTAATAAGTTCCACCCCCAACAGTACAGGTATGAATGTTATTCATGGAGAGGAAAAACAACAAAACAATACCAAACACTCAGCAGGAAAGCCAGGAGTCTGCATGTAAATACCCTGGGCAGGTACAGGACTTCACAGGAAAAGCAGCCCATTTCTGAAAAGGAGAAGAATTGAATAACCTCCTCTACTTGGGTCCCTTGCCTAGTTATTTTTATTTGTTTTTAAGGAAGAAAGTCTTACTTTGGCTCACAATTTCAGAAATTTCAGTCTTTGATCACTTGTCCCTGTTGGTTTCAGTCAGTACATCATGGTGGGAGTGTGTTTACTTCATGGTGGCTGCGAAACAGAAAAGAGGAGGGGACCAGGTCCCAATATCCCCTTAGAGAGCACACACTCAATTACCTAACGTCTTTCCACTAGGCTCCATCATTTAGTTTCCACTACCGCCAGCAACAGCATAGGCTGGAGAACATTCAAGATCCAAACAACAGCAAATGTCCAACTCACTTCCTCCTCCAGCATGTATATTATCTCCTTTATATAGAATTGTATACTGCCTGGGCTGTTAAGAGCAGCAAATGAAGTGTGTTGTTGCTCTGGGTGCTGGCTACTTATAATCCCACAGCTTCTGAGCCAATGTGAACTTTGCTAACTGTGCACCCCAGAACAATCCAACTGGGTTTGGTCTAGCTGGGAAGAACAAAGTTGGCTCCACATTCACTGTTACGAAATAAGCCATGAGGAGAAAGAATAAAAGAATGCTTTTTCTTGACCACTGCTGTTGGCTCCAGCTTAGTCATAATGATTTTCTCTTTAAACACAGGAAGAGAGATAGAGAACAGTGCCTGCTCCAAAGCCCAGGGTAATCACACTGCTGCCTTCAGGACTTCAGGTAGTCTGGCTAACTCTCTGCCAGTGCTCAAAACTGCAGTTGACACTGCAGATGGTCTCTGCCTGGTCCTGCTAGCCAACACTTCACATCTGGAGCCATTTGCTCAGGTGGATTTGACCCCAAGGGGAAATGAAAATTGCAGTTATTCTCTGGCTCCCTGGTGGCAGCTATCGCTTAGCTGCTATTTAGAATTATGTACAGACCTCCAAGACAGATCCAGGAAAATGGGATGAAATAGCCTATTTGAAACACTGTTTTTATGTGTTCAAGAGAAATGAATATAACATTTGCCCACTAAGTGTGCTTTTTTTGTCTCCCTGCCTCCCTACCCTGCCAGGATTACCCACCCCCCACACTCCCTAGCTGTGGATGCTGCTCAAAGCACTTCTCATTTTGCCTTAATCCAGGGCTTAGACAAATAGGATGTGACCAAACCTCACTTTGACAGTAATGCTGCAAACTGATGTACATTTTAAGTCCAAAGGGTTGAGACTAAGTAGAATGTTGCGTGAACTAGCCCACTAGCGTTATCTCTTCTCTAAGCACATACATACATCTGTTTCCATAGTCAGCACTCAACAGCTGTTGTAAAAGCACCAATTTTCTCCAGTAAGACCTGGTCTGTTTGCTGCTTTGCTGAAATGGTAGCTCCAAAGAGAATAAACAGTTAGGTTACGTATTCTTGACCTGATCCAGTTTCTTTGTACTCTACTTTCAACACCTCTTAAAAGAAAATTTCAGGTTTAAAAAAGAGAAAAGTGTAAGAATTAAAGCCCTGTTTTTAAACAGGCTGAACTGATGAAATCAATAGCACTATGAGCCAACCAGGTTGCTGAAAAAAAGAATCATTTCCCTTGTCCTCCTCAGATAACCCAAGACATGGAGCATGTGAAGTTCTACACCTTTCTCCTAACTACCTATCTGGAGCTAAGGAACAAGGAGGGGATGGGCTGTTTTACTCTACATGGGTTTGTACTCTAGTATTGCCTCCCAATACTGGACTGGAAAGAACAGTCTCTATCTCCAGAATGTGCTAGAAATCAAGGAACCAAGTCTCACTTATGAATTTCCTGTATGTACTAACTCCTCCTTGACCCCTGCCTCCTCCCAAACTTTCTGAGGCAGGAAGTAGCTGGTAATTAGGAACAAAGGGGCTAGAAGTGTATCTCAGTGGAACAGCATTTTCCTAGCATGTGCAGGCCAGTATCAAAGGGAGGATGAGTCTAATAATTAAGAATATAATCCAGAGGGCTGGTGGAGTGGTTCAAGTGGTAGAGCATCTGCCTAGCAAGTGTAAGGCTCTGAGTCCAAACCCCAATACTGAGCCTGTAATCCTAGCTACTCAGGAGGCAGAAATCAAGAAGATCATGGTTTGAAGCCAGCCCAAATAGTTTGCAAGACCCTATCTCAAACAAACCCTTCACAAAAAAGGGTTGCTGTGCTGGAGTGGCTCAAGGTGTAGGCCCTGAGTTCAAACCCCAGAACTGAAAAAAAAAAAAGAAAGATATAATCCAAAGGCCGATTGATAAATTATTTCCTTGGATTTATATTCTTGTATAAAATACAAATGCTGATTCAGTAAGTCAGTATAAGAGAAAAGACCCTTTTAAGTGATAGCCTGTTTTATAAACACTAATTATTCTTCCCAGGTCTAGATGTTTTAGAAGTCATATCATTCATAACTAGGTTCATCTTCCACTTCTACCATTTGAAGGCTGGTCTACTATCAGCCTGAATAAGGGGAAATGTCCAGAACTCACAAAAACTCGTCCAATACTCTAATAGTGTTTTATTTCAAACTCTGATCCTTGCCCCATTATCAGAAAAAGAATGCTGCCAGTTTGCTCCCATAGTCCCTGCTGTGAAAAAAACTGTTATCAGATGCTTGTTCTTTTAAACATACTCCCTTTCATATAGACTCGTAGCTAGACATATGATTTTAGAAAGAAAAAGAAGGTCGTGGCTGTGCATGCCAGCCACCCATCTTGACCTAGTCATCAGCCATGGTTGTGAGAATGAGCCTAATGAAAACACCCGAACTGGACAGGAGAGAACAAGGTGATGGTGATGGATGGCTTCGTAGCTTCTAGCAGCTTTGTCATCCAGGCTTCACCCCAGGAGTCACTTTTGCTATCAGACTAGCTGAGGCTTATGGGCCTCTCCATGTGCCTGTTCACAGTCTCCCTCGGTTTCAGATGGGGACCGGGAATCATCACCGTCTGAAAGAGGAGAAGGCTGAGTTATCTACTATCTACCAACCAACCCCACATCTTACACAGGTCTTCATCCCTGCCTCTTCCCATGCTTACACCCAACCCCCAAGAATATTTTTCCCTTCTCTGAGGTTACATCATCCTCTATTTCCACTAGATGGAGCCTAAGAGGAGTAGCTTAGAATGCAACTACCGCCTTACCTTGATGATGGGCTGCTTAGGAGGTGCCCATGATGGCACAATCTTGCCATGCATTCTCCAGCTCCCATAGGGGTTCATCAGATGTTTTTCAAACACAACATACTCTAGGACATCCTTGGGTACATCTTCTTGTCCATACATCAACCGGCCAAACCGATCATAAATGGCCAGAGTCTGCAAGGATGAAAGCAAATCTGGTCTCTTGGGTTTTTTTCAATTTTTGCTCCATAACATTTTTTTTTTTTTTGGGTGGGACTGGGTTTGACACATAACTATTCATAAAATAATTTTAACAAAAAATTTAAAAATTACTTTATAATTCTGAACTTAGGACTAACTAATCAATTGCTGACACTTTAGTCTGAGAGGTTCTTTGATGGGTAAGGTGGGAAAAGTCAACACCACAAAGAGTGGAAAGGATATTCTTAGTGGAGCAAACATTTAGCAGTGAGAAATGAGCAATAGCAGAGCAAGGAAGACTGTGATAAACCTTTGCTTAGACCTACAGTCCTTAGGCTTGAGGTATAGCTCAGCGGTGGAACACTCGTCTAGCATGTTTGAGTCCCTGGATTCAAAAAGCACTTCAAAAAGGTAACAAAAAATATAAAAACCTACATTCTTGAACTGAGAACTCCAGAGGTAGGTGCCCAAACTAAAAGTAAAAGTGAAAAGAAAGCAAAGGTTACTCTACCTGGCGTGTGTGCATGCGTACAGTGACCTGGCCATACATGTTGCTCTGGTTTACCATGCTTGAGCAGCGAACCTGAACCACCTGGGCTGGCTCTAAGGATTCCACAAAGCTCCAGCGGACAGTCTTATATTTGATGTCCCAGACCATGTCCTAAGGGCAGAGGACAAGAAGTTCAACTGGGTTTTTCCTTCCCTGTATGGAAGCTGCCACCACCACCACATGTTCTCACTTCCTGCAACACTTCAGTCATATAGCCAACAGGCAGCACTAAATGCTCTCTATAATTTGATTAAGCTACTGCTCAAGGTCGCCTCATTACTCTTTTCATCTAAATCACAACTAAGACCCACCCACCTCTTGGAGGACCCTTTTCTAAATCTCTGAAAATCACATTGCCACCTACCTAATACACCATATTTCCTCACATATACTTTCATAATCTGCTAATTACCGCATGTACTTCTGTTGACTGCATGTGCTTCTTTTTTTCCTCCTCTCACCTTCAGCAGTAAAAGGTGGGAATTTTATAAGGACATAAGGGCTACACTGCTAAGACTAGATTAGCTCTATTTGTCACTGGGGAAATTGATAAAACTTAAGTAGAATTTAGAACTCAAATTCTAATGATTGAAAGTGAGCCAAATTTGTAGAAAATGAAGTTCTTATTCTTGAACCTCTAACTGAACTACAAAGTTCCGCTTTTTGAGCGTCCCCCAAAGTACCCAACACCCTGTCACTACATATTATTACATAATACAAGCCTCATGAACTCTGTCTGATTAAATCCTTCACTACAGCATAGACATATGTGGGTATGGGCTCATGTAGCCCACGCCTGATTTTAATATCTATCTGCTGAGGTTTAGACACTTTTTCTTTCCTTATTTGCCATGGCCCTTACCAGAGTCAAATCCAAGTCATTACTGGTAAGCAAAAAAATAAAGGATGTAAGCTTATGTCTTAAACATCCTGTACTTCAAAAGTAATCCTTCTGAAGAAAAACCAAAACCAGGCATGGTAATGCATGTATGTAATCCCAGCACTTGGAAGGCTAAGGCAGAAGGATCATGAGTTTGAGGCCAGCCAGGGCTACATAATGAGACCCTGCCTAAAAAAAAAAGAAAGGAAGGAAAAGAAAAACTAGAAATGATATATAGATTCTGCCCACTCAGGCATTGTGTAGTTCTGAAGATGAGAACTTACAGGAAAACAATGTTCAGTAACCAAGGTGTGAAGCCGGTCATGGTCTGAGCTAGGAAACAAAGAGATATATATATATCACTGATTCCTGCTTTTATGATAGTTGAAAATGGCCCTGAAAGTGGAAAACAATTCATTTTTATAAACATTTTCTGCACATCCTACTGTAAGCCACATAATATGCTAAGATCTAGGAACAAAAAAGATGAATAACACAATTTACTACAAAACCGTCAGATTTAATAGCACAGCAAAACTGTGTTTACATCTCTAAAGAAGAAAGGAATTTTTCTGAAATTACTTTACATTATTTCCCTTCCTTCCTTCTTCCTTACCTCCTTCCTTTCTTTCTGCGGTACTGGGTTTTGAACACTTTGAGCCACTCAGCCACTCCACCAGTGCCTTTTTTTGGTGATGGGTTTTTTCAAGATAGGGTCTCATGAACTATTTGCCCAGGCTGGCTTCCAACTGTGATCCTCCTGTTCTCTGCCTCTTGAGTAGCTAGGATTACAGGCGTGAGCCACCGGTGCCCAGCCCCACAGATCTTTTTTTTTTTTTTCTGACTTTACATTCTTAAGATGGGCAAGGATCCTCAATGGGACATGGGAACAGTTTTTGCTATAAGCTGGTATGGGGAACAAAGTCCAACACCATACAACAATCAAAAGCTGGGTCTTACCTCCTTTTACCATAAGTGCACCATCAGTAACAATCAGTTTGGCCCTGTATCTTATATTCTCATCTCTGAACCTAGTAAAAGAAAATCATACCTTTTGTGGCCCTTTCTTTTCCTCCCCTATCTTTGTTACTGCCCAAAATGACTTACTCATCCTGACTCTATTTAATAACACAAACAGCAAATCCCAGTTCTACAGACACAGGATTTTAGGAGGGTTCTTAACTTATGAGGTCACATGTATACTTAAGACCACTGAGACAGTTCATCTTGATTGTAAACTTGATTAGATTGAGACATGCCTAGAATATCAGTAAAGTACAGCTGTGGGGTATGTCTGTGGGGGCATTTTCAGAAAGGATTAGCTAAGGGAGGAAGACCTACTCCCTATATGGACTGTACTATCCCACACACTGGGGGGGTCCATATGAAATAAAATGGGAAGAAGGAAGCCCATTAGCATAGGCATTCTATTTCTTATCCACCCCCATTTCCCACACCCCATCCAGCCTTCTCTCATATTCTCTTTCTTTCTTTCCTTCCTGGCTGCCATGAAGTGAGCTGCTATGCCATGCCCTCCCTGACATAATGGACTGAAACCTCTGAAACCATGAGCCAAAATAAGTAAGGCCTCCTTTAAATTATTTCTTTCAGGTATTTGGTCACAGTGGCCAAAAAGTAACTCATACAACCACAGATTAGTTTCTTTCAAATACGCACACATGAATTTTCCCCATAGTTTATTATTTCATAGGCAGTTTAACTCTTCATCCCCTTTGAAAAGTCTTGTTCTCTAATCCCAGAGTGAGTAAAGGTTTTGTTTTATTGTGTCTATCTGTTTCCCTTCTACTTCTATTCCTAACAGAAAAGATCCCTGGTCATTTTTCCTACTGTAGGACAAGACTAGACTGAAAACTACCATGGCAACCACCATGGCTGGCCCCTCTGACAAACTTTACTCACTATCATGGCTTAGAAATCATCAGTAGAAATAAATTCCATTTTCTATAAATTCATTTAACTGACAACAGAATTTACAGTGAAAAATTAAAGGAAGACATCTGCTTCTGCAACATAATGGACTGAAGTTAATATAAAACTACTCCCACTACAACATCTAGAAATGTTGGACAAAATATAATGCAGACACACATACACACAGATAGAGATACAAATGCTCCTTACGATTAGGTTACATCCTAACAAACTCATCCTAAATTGAAAATAATGAAAGTTGAAGATGCATTTAATACATCTAATCTACCAGACCTTGTAGGTTGGCAACACAGCACACTATAAGAGTATTGGTTGTTTCCCAGTGTGATCTTACCTACAGGCATCTACTGTGATGCCTGCTACCAGCATCACAAGAGAGTATCATAGCAAATATTGTTAGCCCAGGAAAAAAAAATTCAAAATTCAAAGTATGGTTTCTACTGAATGTGCATTACTTTCATACCACCACAAAATTTTAAAAATACTAAATTGAACCATTATGATCCAGGAACCATCTGAACACATTCTGTTTGCTTAGTTTTTGTTCTGCTTGTTTGACAGAATCTCACTATATACCCCAGGCTGTCTTGGAACTTGCTAGGTAGCACAGACTGGCCTCAAACTCACCATCCTCCTGCCCAAGCCTCCTGAGGGCTACAACTACAGGAATGAGCCACCATGCCCAGCTTCTGCACACATTTTTAAACATGCTAGCCTAGTTCACAAGAAAGACAGGTAAATCCTAAATTCAAAAGAAGAGGGAAAAACTAAAATAGAAAGATGGCAACTTGATACTACGACAGCATAAGGGATGACTAAGCAATCCAGAAATAGGATCTAATGGCTAGGAGCCTGATTTTTCCTGAAACTCTGACCCCTGAAGGGCAGGGAGTTGGACCAGATATCCCTGTATAAAACTGAGACTCTCAAAAGGGTCCTGCACCTGCAGGAAAGGGACACTAGAAAAACAGTCCATCAATCTAGAGATAAAGTTTCTCTCTAAAGCATTAAGTGGGAAGAGGAAATAAAAACTAAGAAATTAAAGAAAGTTCTAAGCCTACATTCTACTCTGATGTTGATACAGAATTTATACCTGTACAGTATAGGAATTTCTAAGCTAAGAAATTAATGGAAAAACTGACACCTGGTTAATGATACCCCTGGGGAATCATTATTTGCAGATGCAAACAAAATCTCTCTGAAGGCAGGGGACATAGCTCAGTGGTAGAACGTGCCCTCAGTGCGCACAAGGCCCTGGGCTCAATCTTCAGTATCACAAAACAAAAATAAAGAACAACAAAAAAAAAAAACTCACTGGGAGCATATTCCTAACTCCCAGTTAGGAATTTCAGTTAGAATTTCAGGTTGTTTGAAATTCTCTCAGAAGATGAAACACTACAAAATACATCTAGAATCTAACAAAAGTCAACAGACACAGACACCAAGCAAAATCACAAATAAGAAAGTATTAGGATTACTCCTCCACCAAAAATAACTGGCAAATTTAGAAAAATGATCAGAAGTCTAGATCCTGCCTAGACAATGATAATAGCCAGAGAAAGTAACTTATGAGGGGAAAGGCTGACAGCTTGGGGAGAAGAATAACATGCATAAATTGTTCTCCTTCCCTCAGTCCTGCCATGATTATGGGACTAACGGTTGGCATTCCTAGAGCAGATGGCTGGTACTAGGGTAGTTAATGGAGAACTTGCTGTCCAAAAACTTAAGGTTGTGCACTTTGGTGTACAGATACTTGCTTTGGTTTGACTACAGCAGCTTTCCTCTCTCAGAATACTAAAAAAGGACAAGAATATCTGCTTTGTTTTTATTTAGCCAGATAAGTAAGGAAATCTTTGTCAGGTCACTGGATGACCACAAGGTTGTGAAACAAAAATTTCACTGACAATACATAAGGAATATACTAAATTAGTTTGGAAAAGTCACAAAGGATAGTGGCAGCCCCGATGAGCAAGATCAGAAATTCCTAAGGAATGGGATAACCTGATTCCCAGAGTTACCATATTCAGAATGTCCAGTTCTTTTTTGGGTTTTTTTTTTTTTTTTTGGTGGTTCTGGGGTTTGAACTAAGGTCTCACGCTTGCTAGGCAGGCACTCTACCACTTGAGCCACTCCACCAGCCCCCAGGATGTCCAGTTCTTAACAAAAATTACAACACTTACAAAGCCCACAGATAGGAAAAAGGAACAATATCTACCATTCTGAGGAACACACTGGACAGTGGAATTAGAATCAAAGATGTTAAATCAATTGCCCTAAATATGCTTAACAAGCTAAAGGAAACAAAGAATTAAATAAGAAAAACAATTTATTAACAAAAATAAGACTATCAATAAAGGGACAGAAATTATATAAAAGAACTAAATAGGTATCTTTGCGCTGAAAAATTAACTTAAGAGTTGAGTGCAATAGTTTATGACTAAGTTCAAGGGCAGCAAAGGCAACTTAGTGAAATCCTATCTTTTTTTTTTTTTTTTTTTTTGGATAGTACTAGGGTTTGAACTCAGGGCCTACACCTTGAGCCACTCTACCAGCCCTTTTTTTGTGATAGGTTTTTTCACGATAGGGTGCTCAAACTACTTACCTGGGCTGGCTTTGAACTGTGATCCTCCTGATCTCTGCCTCCTGAGTAGCTAGGATTACAGGCATGAGCCACCTGGCACCCAGCAAGATCCTAATACTAACATTTTTTAAAAGGGCTAGAAGGGATGCATAATGCAGCCTTACAGCACTTTCTAGCACATGTGAGACCCTGATTCCAACTTGCAGCACTACATTAAAAAAAAATATTAAAAAATCACTTGAAAGATTCAACAGCACATTTGAATAGGCAGAAAGGATCAATAAATTTTAAAGTAAGACAACTGAAATTTCTGATCTCAGAAGCAAAAAGTAAAAGAATGAAGAAAAAAGAAAAGAGCCTGAGGAACCTGAGGGACATCATCAAGCATACCAAATATATATCGAGCTGTTGTGTGGCTCAAGTGGTAGAGTGCCTGCCTAGCAAGCACAAGACCAAGTTCAAACCCCAATACTGTCCTCCAAAAAAAGCCAAACAACAACAAAATCCAAATATGTATCACAAGAGCCCCTGGAGGAAAAGAGAGAAAAGGATAGGAAAAATAATAGAAGACATAATGGCTGAAAGTACCGCAATGCTGATTAAAGCCCTAACATATGCATCCGAGATGCTCAATAAACTCTAAGGAAGAAAAATGTAAAGAAACCGACACTCTGAACAACATTACAATCAAAGTGTTAAAAGACATAGATAGAATCTTTCTTTTCCTCTTTTTTTTGTAGTATTGGGGATGGAATCCAGGATCTCATGCATGCTAGGCAAGTGCTCTACCACTTGAACT